GTGTCGATAATCGTGACGTCGATTGTCGTTTTCAATAAGTACGATGGTTTTCTGTATTTTTTCTAAGTTAGTGTGGTCAATTATGTCTCGAGGTGTAATATTGCGCCAGATTATTTTTTAAACGATTAAATAAAGCATAGTAATATTTAAACATTATTAATGAATAAAGAACAGACATATTTCGGCCGTTTTAGAATTCCAATGCAATTCTTTTATTCACCTCATTTAGTAAAGGATAGCTGTGTATTTTCTTTAAAAGATTTCTTTTCAACTTGTCAAGTGATAACAATCCTCCCCCTCTTAAGCCAGGCGAAATTAATATGCCCTTCCTTAACGTTGTTTTGACAACCACTAACGTGATTCTTTCAGTCCCACAAGAAAAAATAAAGATAACTCCATCAGCATGCCGCGCCCTAACGCTTGATTGATAACTTCCCCGCCCTCAACTTGAATGATCTCTTTACACATATTTTCTCTATACAAATAAGGAGGGAATGGATTTTTCTCCCCCACCTACCCACCTTAATGAATGACGGGGAATCCCGTTTCTTCCTTGAATCGTTCTAGTTCAAAATGGCGGATAGAGCAAATTAATATTTTCATTACTACTGTCAATTTTTTTTCGTTTTCTAAATTTTAAGCACTAATTATTTTTTTTCTAATATTTTGTTTTCGATTGATTAAATATCACATTCAAATACTAAAACATTATTGCCCAAAAAATAACGTTTATTTATTTTTTGCTTCTTAGATTCAGATCGTTTATTAGATCATTTTAAGCTTTGTTTATCTTAGGGGTGTATTATACGGAAAAATCTATTATCCGGACTTCGGGAAGTCCCACCGATTCCGGATACGCGACGTTCCACTGTATAAGGAAAAATTTTTAGGGTTCTGGTTCTTATATGTGCTTTTTAAATTCTTTATGCTGTGGTGGTTAATAACTTTAAGTTAAATTTTCAAACCCAGAGTAGTATGTTAAATCATAAAATTTTCTGCCATTTGAAAATATCATAGGTAAAAATCATGAAAGCTGACATGCATGCATTTTAAAATTTCATTTTGATACATACTTTTTATAATACAGATTTTCTTTTTATCCTCTTATTTTCTATATCTGTTTTTTTTTCTTCTTTCTGTTTTATTATAAAATCATAATGTTTTTAAGTAACATTTTTTAATTTAATCATGTAAACTTCGTTCGAGTCACAAAATCAAGCAGCAGTTTCATCATGTGACTCAATATTTGATCAGAAAAAATATTAAAAATAAATCAGATTTGTGACAAAGCGAGAGACAGTATCTTTTAAAATCATGTGTTGTGGAAAGTAGGAATTAGTGGACCACTTTTGAATGTTTTAATTATTTTAAACGAAACTAAATGAATCTCAGACCTGCCAACTCTCAGGCTTTAGACCTAAGTCTCAGGATTTTATGCCCAATCTCAAGACTTGAAGCCTCTAAAATATATTCGCAGGCTCTTTCCTAATGAGTATATAGATCAGAGGATTCATGCATAGTTTGCATACAAACCTCACTCTCCATCCACCATATCAATTATAGTATGTTGATAGTTTTTTTTTTTTTTTTTTTTCNTTTTTTTTTTTTTTTTTTTTTTTTTTTTTTTTTTTTTGCGTTTGCAAAAATTAAAGCAAAAAATAACTAGCCTCGTTTCTTGATATTCAAGAAACTTGATTTTGTGCTTTACAGTGCAAAGATTTTTTAGAACTGAAGTTTTCCTTTCTTTTGATACAATCAATATACTATAATATTGAGTCTGTAACAGGTAAAGTTATACCTACAACTGTGTTGTCCAACTTAAAGCTGGCATTATTAACCATTCCTCACAAGGATATGACAATGAGAGAATATTTAGCCACGTAACAAAATTCCAGGCTTAATTCTGTTTTTTGTCAAAGTAAAATCAGAATTTGTGGAAAAAATTTTTGTATAATGTTTTAATAAATGTTAAATCCGTCACTCAATCTGTTTTTTTTTTTTTTTTAAATAAAAGGAAGAAAAAAATTTAATTTTTAGAGACAATAAAGTTACTTGCATAAATTTAATTTAAAGAATGGTATAAATTTATTATTTTTTTTTAATAATAATTATTGTTTTGCTTATTCTCTGTGCCCTGTTTACAAAAGGTCTCAGGTTTTAAGAAGTTATCAGGTCTTCAATCTGCATGAAAGAGTCCCTAAATATGTTTCTATTATTTATGTTTATTCATGAAAATACGTATTGTGGACCCTCTTTAAATTTTTCTAAATGTACGATTTCCTATTTGTTACAAATTTTATGTGCTGTACATTTATTATCTTAAGCAATCCATAAAGTTATTCTGTATTTGGATAAAATTTTGATGTTGAAATCTTTGCTATATCATTAGCTTTATAAAATCTCATGTTAAAAATGTTTCTTTAAGGCAGTCATCCAAGCTGCTGTAAAATTAGTACACTCAAACTTAGACCACCCTGAAAGTAAAGCAAACACGGAACTCCGAGAGAAATCACACTAAAATTATTGTTTTTCAATGAATCCCTTGGCATGAGGGAATTGAGGGCAACAAAAAGGCTGACTCATTGCCTGAAGTATGAACTCTTTGACAACAAAGCCATTCCTCTAGAATTGTGTGAAAGACTTGTTTATGAGAAAATTATAGATATCCTCAAATATGACTGAGCAGCAATGTCAATGGGTAAATCCTGAGCCAATATCCAAGATCACTGGAAAATGTGTTACCACAAACCCCATAGAAAAGTTATTGCAAACTTTAAACTAAGGTCAGGTCAGGACTACTTAGCAAAACATCTGAATAGAATGGGTATACTCCCATCAAATATTTGTCAAATCTATGAAATGGGCATCATGAATGCTGAACAATTTTATATGTGCCCAGGTTCAGAGAGAGAGTCCCTGATACTTGGTGAAATTGTCACATTACATTGGACTGCTGGAAGTTTAATTAATTATTATTGATTGAACTCTATCCATTCTTTTTTCTTGTTTCTTTGTTAATCCTTTTCTTGTTCATGTTTATTTATATTAATCTTTTTAGTTTGTTCATGTTTATATTGTGTGTGTTTATTATAGTTCTTTTTTCTGTCCACTGTCCCTTTGTGAGACATTGAGCTGCCTGAGTGGGCTGCTCTATGGATTGAAATTCCTGCTAGTCACATGTAACAACATCATTGGACAATCAAACAGATACCTGTTGAATGGGAAGAGGGTTCCATACGTATCATTTTTAAAAAAGGAAGCATGCTGAAATACTGCAATTATTGAGGTATCACCCTCTTAAACCTAGCATTTAAAATATTCTCCCATATCTATGTAATAGGTTATTACTGTATACATTTACTGTTATTGGTTCGACAATGTGGATTTCCAGCAAGAAAATCTACTATTTCTCAAATTCATCCTATTAGACAAAATTTAGAAAAAGCTGTTAAATGTAATAGTCACACCTTTCATCTAAATCATACCTGATGTATTAAATCTATTCTACACTGAAATAAGATTGAGACAAGGTGATACTCTTTGTGCATCTTTTTCAATCTCAGCCATAAAAAAGCTATTAGAAATTGTACTATAGCTAGAAGTAATGAACTATAACTACAGGTGCCGTTTTTTCAGAAATCTATATAGTTATTAGTGCATGCTGATGACATCAACATTAATCACAGAAGTAAACAGGCAGCTGTGGAGACTTTCATTTCTCTAGAATCTAGAGCCAGAGATATTGGACTTGCTACAAATGAGGATAAACAAAATTTATGGCTGTAGCAAGCAATGCGCATAACTCCACACTGCAAATAGGATTTTATATTTTCAAGAGCGTTGATCAGTTTACATTTCTCAATACTATCATTTCTAAATATAGTTATGTTAAACTTGAAATTAACAGATTATTCAAGGCTAGTCGATGCTATAATGGCATAAAAATGTATTAAATCTTTACTACAAAATTTCAAGACAAAAATAACTATTTATATAACTCTTGTTAGACCTGTCATATTGTATGATAGTAAATGCTGACCATCACTAAAGACATGTGAGAATAAATTTTTGATTTTTGAAAGAAGAATTCTTTATAAAATATTTGGCTCAATTAGAAAAAATTATACTTTGTTAATTCATGAAATCTATCAACATCCTAATGTTGCAAAGTCGTCAAATACTATCATATCAAACGATTTAGGCATATTGTTTAAATGATGACAACTCAAACCTTGTTAAAACGGTCATCTTTGTAAGCGTCCAGAGTAACAGAAAATACCTTATACAAGTTGGATTGATTGCGTAGAGGCAGACTTTAAGACATAAAAGCCAGTTGTTGGTGAACTGTAGCATTTTAACAGATCCATTGGAAGAAGCTAATTGAAACAGCTTTTGACTGAATAGGCTGTAGTGCATTAAAAGAAGAATAAGTACATTTGTTATGCAGTTGGGAAAGAAATTTTATACATAGATGCTTTAGTTATTGTATTGTCATCCTATTTTCAAATTCAAGAATTTGCTGTGAAAAATGAGAGATTTACTAATTTTATGATTGTTTTTTTAAAACCAGGAAAAAAGGTTTGACATGGATACAAAAAACTGACATAATCAAGACTATCATTTCTTGAATAACACAATAACTGACACCTTGTACTACATTTTTTTACTTAAACAAAAATTAGGTCAGAATGAAATTTTTTTACATAAGTCAAAATGTCTCAAAATCACACTGAGTTCTTTGTTTAGAAAACTTTTATCAGGCAAATCTAGTTTAGTAAATTTATTTAATAACATTAATTTTTTTTAAAAATATTTAAATTAAATTAGTATAGAATTTAACTATTAAACCTTTTAACTTTAATAAAGATTGAAAAACAGTAAACCAATGTCCCCCAGTCCCTCACCAATAGGGAGTAATTTATTGAAATTGTTCATCTAACTTTCTGTAGACTATGAATAAGAAAATTTTTATTGTGTTTTATTTCTGTCAAATTTTAAAATTTCATTAATTTTTACTAAAAATGTGTATTAGTATCTTCTAAAGTTTCTTTTTTGTACTGTTCAAATTTTTTGTGACTAATTTTTTTAAATTTAATTTTCAATGTTTCTTTTTGTGTATCTGGAAACAAAATTGGCAAATAGCTCAATTCTGCACAAAAAGCTTCATAAACTTTAAATATCTATTGTTTTGCTATTTTGTTGGAGTAAAAATATAAAATTAAAATTTCAAAACAAATATAGGGTTGGCTAAACTTACTTGTTAAGGGTTGACTAACTGTACCAGACATATTTTTTAAAATTTTACCTGCAAACGCTCTTTCTTCTTAAAATTGTTATAAAATTTCTTATAGTAACTTAGGTGGAATACCATAATCAACTTGAGAAGGCAGTCTAAAATTATCCAAAAAGAAACTTGCTATTTATGAACGGTTTTTTTAATATTGAAACAGTAACAGATTACAGAGTTTCTTGAATTTTTGTTAAATTTGCTTTTTGCATTTAAAGTGGTAGCAAAATTTATGTTTTCAGTATTTTATTTACAGATTAATAATGCTGAGTTAGACCGTTTTTGATCAAAAAATAATGAAAATAATTTTGATAATTGTATAGCTGTTTATTTACGATCTTTAATTTTTTAAAGTTTAAGCAATATGTGCTTAAAATTGTAAAATCAGCAGATGGTTCACTATCACATAAAAGTTAGCAATTATGGAAACAGCCCTGTTGCCTGCTGTTTGATGGGAAATGGTCCCTCTTAAATTGTGACTTTCTTTTGCATTTAAATAATGTATAAGAAATCATAAAGTGGTTCTACTTGTTATTTTGATGCTATTTATTTGACCACCAATGTGTTTAGAACCAGTCCTCCTCTGTCTGTAAACAGCTAGACATGGAAGTTCTTTTTGTTTATAGAAAACATATAAATGTGAATACTTATAAAAAATTTAACAATTGTGCTTTAAGTGTCTTTATATGAGATATTTTCTTATTTCTTAACTTTTATTTTCTAGGCTAGATTACAAAACTAGAAATAAGTATAAAACTAAGCAGAGACGACAAGACCCATTCTATCGCTCTCAAGAAAGAGTACGACAAAGAACTGTGATGCGTTTAAAACGTCAAGATCCTGGGTTTCGCGAAGCAGAAAGAGAAAAGGGGCGTTATAGAATGCGTTTGAAAAGACTGGACCCTAAATTTCGTTCCCAAGAACGCGAGCGTCAACGTGAGAGAATGAAAGCTAAACGAAGGGATCCAGAGTTTCGTGAGAGAGAGAGAGAGCAACAAAAGACAAGATTGCATGTAAAGCGGTTAGATCCGGCATTCAAAGAAAAAGAAAGAGCTCAAGATCGTCTTAGAATGAGATTAAAGCGTCAAAACAACAGTCTTTTTGCAAATTTGCATGCAGACGATATTAAAGTTAGCCATGAAAGTGATTTAAGTGTAACTTCTGACAAGATGCTAAAGGACATGTGCAAATCTGAGGATTCTCGGGAAGAGTTTCAAAATCAAACTGTTTTTCCTGAAAATTTCAGTGCTAAATTATTGTCCTTAAAATCACAAGAATCTGTTATTGAAACTTTTCACTTCAAAAAACAACAAATTTTGAATTTTAATTTTTATAACACAAACAAAGAACAATGGCTTCAAGAAATGTGTTCTCGAGCTGTGGCTCAAACCAGTGATATTAGTGAGAGTGATACGTTACAATCTGCTTCAGTGGCTGAAGTAAACAGTGATATGATGCAAAAATTGCCGCTGATTAAAAAGAAGGATCTGAAAGATGAAAGCAGCTCTGAATCTTTAGAAAAGATTAAATCTAGTGAACTGTCCTTGTCAGACTTACAAAAATACACTAATTCAAGCCATATCACTGTGTCAACAGATAAATATTCATCAACAAATACAGGTTTGTATTTAATTTTATTTTGTTTTTATTATTTATTTTTTGCTGAGCAGACAGTTTAATTCTTAACAGTTGACCTCAAACTCAATTTGATGTAGAATTTGTTCTCTTTTCATGAAAAAAATTGATCTTCTCCACTTTAATGAAATACTTCATATTCAATACTTATACAAATAAACCCAAACAGCTTGATTTTAAAAAGATTCATGGAAACACCAAACTTCAGAAGAAATACATATTTACTTTTACTTTATTTAACTAATAATTATTGATTGGTTTCAATGATCTAAAACTTATTTCCAATAACATTATTTTAATCTCCTACAAAATGAACTGCAATTTATCCAATTGTTTCACTTTAGTTTCTTCACTGATGTGAATGACTACAGTAAAAGTCAAAAGCATATTTGCATTTATCCATCAATACAGTTACTCATCAATAAAGTTACTCAGCTTTGCAGAAGGCTGATTCCATTGCAGAATTTGCAGGAGTCATTCTTTCATTTGTTTAAATGCATAGATGTAAATACTCAATACTTTGCCCTTATGGGGTGATATAGAAAAGGGAACTATTCTAAAACTACTACTCATACAAAGTATTCTGTGGAAAACAATCCCGGTAGATTATAAAAACTTTAATTCTGGTGTTTAGACAAATGAAGATTTGTTTCTGGTGTTGTTTTATGCACCAAATCGATTGAGACCGAACACGAGATGATGGAATTTGTAGTTTAGAAGATATAAGAACTTCCTCTGCTAAATTACAATATTTCACTTGTAACAATTTATGCATTTGGCATTGCTACCTAGGCAAGTGTTATATTGTTTTGTATGTATTTTTTATGACGAATTGAATGTAGCAAAATGTGGTTCAATAGAACTAATTGTTGAGAAGATGGCAGAATTGTTTATTTTAAAATGTCCCACTTCTGACCTATTCTTATTTATACATCTGACATTGCTATGTGGTTGCAATGTAATCAAATAGTTATTATTTCTATTGTATTTTTTATGCTGAATTGAATGACTATAGAACTAATAATTTAAGAAGTTATAAAGCAAGTACACAAATAATGTAGATGGACTAATAATTTAGAAGCTGTAAGGGAAGTCTTAAAAAATATGTAATTTTTAAGAAGTACAGTAATTGATTTATTGAAACATTGTTATCTAGACAAATTAAACATTGTTTCTAAGGCATATTTTATGTTGGATTGAGAGAGACTAAATTCAAATCAATAAGACTAACAGTTCAGAAGTTGCAAGATTTTTTTTTCTGTAAAAAAAAAGTACTTCTTTTATAACTGTAGACATAAAGTAATAAATTCTAAATGAAAGAATAATGTAATCAAAATAAAATTTAATTTTAGGCTAATATAATAATTTTTAAAAATAAAATGTTTTGTGAAATTTGATGTTACATAATATTTCATCATAAAATAGTCCCCACTTTTAATATTTTTTGACAAGTTTTAATATTTTCAGCTTCGTAATATGTGTGATGGTCAAATTTCATTTATTTTTTAAACTTAAAGCTCAAAATTATCAATTTTTTTCACAAAAAAAGTTTTTTCTGCAAATATATTTTCAATGTTTTTTATAAATAATCTTATTGTACTCAATGCATGAAATAAAATTTTATATCGATGTAAAATATTAGTAGGGATGTATAAGACAAGTTTCGATTTTCTAAAAGATTATGACATCAATAAATCTTATAGTAATGCATAGTCCCATAATTTTTTATTATGAATTTTTATTTTTGTAACTAATAATAATGTAAATTGATTTACAAAGAAAATAATGTTTAGTGAAGAAAATAATGTCTTAAGAAATCAAAGAAAAAATATTGAAATTATTAAAAAGTTATAAATCTGCAGTGTGGGATCCTTTAATCAAGTTACAGATGTTAATTTGAATAGTTTTTCAATACTTAGAAAACAATTTTATTACTTTTTGTGATAAATTTTGCAAAACAAAATTAAGTAATAACTGTCTTTTTTCTTTGGCTCAAAAGTTTTTGCTTTCAAATATAGAATGATATTCTACACAGCAATATTGAACATACAAGCATTACTTATTTTTAATCACCCTAATGATAACTTACATATTTTATCTTTATGAGTAAATCTTTATAATTAACTGAGAGTTTCAGTGATGATGAATTTCTGCGATAGTAGGTCTAGTTTTTAAGAGGACTTCAGCAAATAAAATATAATTTTTTTTTAATTTAGTTAAATTACGTAAATTTATGAATTGAACTGTTCATAAATCTTATAGTAATGCATAGTCCCATAATTTTTTATTATGAATTTTTATTTTTGTAACTAATAATAATGTAAATTGATTTACAAAGAAAATAATGTTTAGTGAAGAAAATAATGTCTTAAGAAATCAAAGAAAAAATATTGAAATTATTATTCAATGCTGCTTAGAATGCCTTTTTGTTACTTTTTCGGGGTAAAATATGCAAAATCGAAAATTTTTAATTTAAAGTATCCGCTTTAAATATTACAATATCCTTTTTTCCTTTGGGTCAAAAGTTTTTGAATGTAGAATAATATTCTGTACTACAACATTGAACATACAAGCATTACTTATGCTTGAATTACACTCATACATTTATTTTACCTTTATTATAAATAAGCCTTTTTAACTGACAGTGTTTTAGAGATGATAAATTTCTATGCTGGTGGGCCAAAGTTCAGGAAGACTTGCGCAAAGGAGGTGTAAAATATTTCAAATTTAGTTGACTTGCATGAATTTGTGAATTGAAGGTAACAATTTCATTTACTGGGTGAACGATTCCCCATGCTTTCTAACATTTAAGCATTACCTTGCATACGAGAATGTTAAGCAAACAATCATGTTAAAGATAAACATACATAACACTGTAATAGTGAACTACTTCATGAATCAGTTAACATTATTTCTTATACATATTACCATTCTTTTGAAATGCTTATCTACAGCAAGAAAATGCACATTTCCATTTGCAAAATCATGCTTTAGAGTTGGAGAACTAGAGCTTTTGCCCAGGCTACTAAAATACTGAATTTAATTGAATCGTGTTGATTAATTTTGACTGAAGAAAATGATAAGTTGTTGTAATCAGTGTAGATATATGGTGATGAACTTGAAAGGGTAGCATCAAATAAACAGTTTAGTTGGTGTTTTTATTTTGTGTCAAGTCATTACTTGATAATGAACTGAATAAAAAAAAATTGTTGTCTTCACAATTTCAATATGCATAAATAGAAAAAAGGTAATGAATGTAAAAGGAATAAAAAAAATTAAAAGTGAAATGTACGAAAAATTGAGGGGAGACCCTCATAAACAAACTTTAATGGGACCTGGTTTGTTATTTTAAATGTCTGAGATTAATCTTTTTTTTTTTAGTTTAATAGGGTATTGTATTATGTAAGGAGCACAACAATTTAAAATATTCCCACTAAAAAGCTGGTTTTCTTCAGAAAAACCAGTTACCTCCCCTAAAAATGCGTTATTACTGAAAATAACATCCTGGTAAGGTGAGATGTGATGTAGATCATCATATACCCAATTCCACAACACATATGAGCTCTCATTTCTGATAGTTTGGTACTGTTGAGCTTCCATTTCTAATTTGTGACTGGCTATGTTAGATCACTTCTAAAGATTTTTATAGTTTAATAAGAAATATTGAAATTACCTACTTCTTAAAAATTCTTAACGTAATTGAAGAAATTTTAAAAAAAGAGTAGGTTTTTTCTTTTTTATCAAAAGAGTTACGAACAAACTGTTGCCGTAAGTTCACTATTTTAGTCAATGTAGCCTATTGAAATTGTTGTGTGTATATTTGTTGTGAATATTATAACGTCTTCAGGTTACGCACTCTCTACACTTATTCCCTTGTTTTTACTAATCTTGGCAAATCTTGCTTTTTCCCTATATTTTACTAAGAAGGTGGAATATACTTACTGATGATAAAGCAAAATTTGCCTAAAACATGGTAATGGAGAGGAAGAAAGTGTGGGGAAATTGCACAATCTTGAGACATATGTTTTATTTACAATTGTTTTGTTATATACCAGGTAAAAATGCAACTGGCATAAATATAAATCCATAATATTCGATATGATTACCATACTTTTATATGTTAATTTTCTTTTTTATTACAGAAAACTGAGAAGTATCATATGGCCAGATATGTATAAGAACTGTTGTGTGATGTTCCTAATAACTTCCTATTTAGAGTGCATCTTGTCGTTTGCTTATTTGTCATTGCATCTTGTTGTTACTCAAACTTTTTGTTAAATATATTGTAAAATTGTCTTTTATTTATTTCATCATTAAACTTTTTCACTTTACAGATGTTTTATGTCATTGTATTACATTATACCATGATTTTGCTTATTTTGTCATTAACAGTTTTGCATTCACCACCCAACCATGACAAAGCATATAGCGCCATTTTTCATAGTTCCATCTTTTAACAGCCATGGTTGGAATCTCACACCATTTCAATTTTTTACCATTTGCCAGAGGACATGGACAGCATCTGAGCTAGTACCTATCTCTCCAAACTTCTACATAGCAACTAATAAGAGGACTTTGTTGCGTATACACAATATGGCGGTGATAAGGATCAAACTCATTGCTCCAACTCTCCTCCAGTGGTGTAAATGACACTTTAACCAACTGCACCACTAGAATATCTAGGAGTTATACATTCCCTGAAAACATTAATCTCATTATGTTAAATTAATTTTACATTTCTATTCAAAATTTTGTCAATGTTTTTTTATTCATGCAGATTCTAAAAGGGGAAATCAAGCTTTATTATAATTGCATATGTTAGCATTCCCTCTTAATTTTGAATAATCTTGAAGTATTTTATTCTTGTTTAATTCCAATTTTTCAATAATATTTTGCATGTTTATATAAAGGACGTGAAATAAACTGAAAAATCTTGTTTGATAACTTTTTGTGTTATTTGAAACATTTTTACAACTTGAAAACATAGTTAATTTTGGTAAATATTTCAAAATTTTAAGTTATTTAAAATTTTCAGAGAAAAATTTTACTTAAAATTAATAAACTAATAATTAAATAGCTAATCATAATATTGTATTATTAAGTGCACAAAAAACAATTTTATAATGCTAACATGCTGACTTTGAATAAAGGAATAATTTAAGACAAATTGTGTCAATCAAAATATAGTTAATTTGGCAGCATTTTTTTAACCTTCTCACTTGCAAGATATTGAGGCTAGATAAGTTGATTTGAACAGTTGAAGCTCGTTTTCCTTTGAAATTTCTGGGGAAAAATTTAGTTTATGTTTTCAAAGTTCATCCAGATTTTGAACATTTGGCTTTAGTTTTCTTAGATGTGTTTAAATCACATCTGTCTTAATTTTTAGCATTCCTAATTTAGAAAGTAAATGAAACAGTACAGTCTGTTAGGTCTATTGTTTGTTTTTTTTTAAATTAAAAATATGTATAACATGGCATTGTTTTAATTGACAAACTTTATACTCAAGATTTTTTACTTTCAAATTTATATTAAAATTACTATATTACAATTTTTTTTTTAAAAATGAAGAACTAGTTTTGTAAATGCATCTAAAGAAAAAAATTAAAGCATAAGCGTTTTAAATTAGTTTTAAGTGTTTAAACTACTTTTTCTTTTAGATTGCTAGTATATTTCTAAATTATTTAATGACTTAACACAGGTCTTCAAATGGTGCTTTTTTAAATTATGAGAAAGAAATTTTTATTCACTTTGTTTTTATATTCCAATTTTTGTTTTATTTAATTATAATAATCCTATTTATGAATCCTTTCAAAATAATTATATTCGTATAGCTTTATTTAAGGCAGATAATTTTTTAAAAATAATTTAGTTTTTTCGGATATATTACTATAGTTAATAGTTGAACAACAACCTTAAGTTTTGCTTTTTATTTTACATTCATTGCATTAAGTGTGTCAATTTTTATATTTTATTTAATATGCAGTTTTATTTTAATTTAAATACAGCCAAATATTCTCATAATGTTACTTTTATGTCCCCTACAAAAGATCAGTGTTAGGTTCCACTTTTTGGAAAGTTTCCCTTATGCTCTTTGTTTCATCATTAGAGAAATAAATAGCTTTTTTGAAATTATGAATCATATACAACAGATTATCATCTTTCATTTTATTAAGAGATTTTAAATATTAATCAAGTTCATCGCAAATTTAAACAGATTTGTTATTTTGAAACGATACTCATTTAGGCGCTCCTACTGAAATTTCATGTGATACAAAAGAACTAATCTTTATTATATTACCTGCAACATATGAGTTATATATGCTTTTTGTTTAAATTTAGTTTAATATTGCAATGGTTTTGTGTAACATGATTGTTTTAAAGTTATCAGTTCTAAGAAAAAATGATTTTTTTTTAAAGCATTTATACTTAAATGTTTTGAAAAAATGTATATATGTATATATACAATATATATATATACGCTGGTGGTCAAAATTAAGAGATGGAAAGCATTTTCACATATTTCTATGACGCTATTTCTGGACAGTTATTCATATGGGGGGAACCTGGAACCCGATACCATCCCAGCAACATTATCGAAAGGGACCATTATGCTGGTGGAGTACTCATGGTTTGGGCATGGATCATGCAAGATACTCTCACACCGCTCCATGTGTTTGACAATGGATCCGTGAATGCCCAAAGGTACAGGCAGGAGGTCCTAGAGCCCTATGTGCGTCTTTTCAGGGGCGCTGTTAGCCCTGAGTTCATTTTTATGGACGCCAATGCGCGACCACATAGGGCTCTCATGGTTGATGAGTATCTGGAAAGCGAGGATATTCAACGAATGGATTGGCCAGCCAATCCATTCATTTGAATCCTATTAAACATGCTTGGGATGCTCTTGGGAGAGCTATTGCGATGCGCCAACCTCTCCCCAGAACCATTCTGGAGTTATAAATTGCTCTGGTGGAAGAATGGGAGGGTCTTCCGCAAGTCCTCCTTAACTCCCTTATTAACAGCATGCATACTCGTTGTGCTTGCTGTCTGTCTGTTGGGGGTGACCATACAGCATACTAGAGGCAACACACACTTTACAAGCCTCACTTTTATTGTCTTCTTTTATCCTTAAGTTCAGACTACATTGGATTCTTGCCAGTGAATGGCACTTTCATTTTTGTTTTGCATACTTTATTATCATGAAATTAGCTATATCCATACCAAATTTCATTTATTTATATTCAGTATTTTTTGAGATATTTGGGAAAATGTCTTCCATCTCTTAATTTTGTCGACCAGTGTATATATATGTATACATACATACATGTTGTTATTTCTAATGCCACTTACCAAAACCAGCAAGCCTGCTTGGTGAAACCAAGCGAATTTAAAGCAGAGGGTGTGTCTCTTGTTTTTCAGTGGCGCCATCTATGGCCAAGAGAACGACGTCAGCCACACACACATCACAGCTCGGTTTAGCAAACGGATTCATTCATGCATCTATTTATTCATCGACAGATCATAGTTTTAACCGGAACCAGAATACAATCTTCAATTCAGTACCCCTAAAAGAATTTATTTGTTTGTGAACTTAGAGGACTTTGTGACCCCGACAGATTTTATGTGCATTGAATCCATGTCCAAGAGGTCGTGAGTTCGATCCCCTCCGGCTGAAGTCTCCCCGTTTAGTAAATGGTGACTGATGCACGCTAAATCTGTCGAGTCACAAAGTCCTCCATGTTCCCATAAAAAATTATACCTCTGGGGGTGTTGATCCAGAAGTTTCCTTGCCTTCTGGATTGGTTCAAAATTACAAGGCTATGGAGTTGAACATTAGTAGTCGTAAACCCAAAATTGGGTCGCCTGTTCAATGACGGTTATAAAATAATATACCAAAACCTGGTCGATGCCTGCTTGGTAGGGCCCTGGACACATGTCCAAGATTTCGTTGGCTCGATCCCCACAGGCCGAAGACTCTCTGTGTAGTAAATGGTGACTGATGCACGTTAAATCTGTCGTGTCACAAAGTTCTGCATGTCCCCATAGCAAATCATACCTCTGGGGGGTACTGTTTCAGGAGTTCCCTTGTCTTCTGGATTGAGTTCAAAGTTACAAGGCTACAGAGTTGAACATTAGTAGTCGTAAACCAAAAATTGGGTCGGCTGTTCAACTACGGTTATAAAATAAAATATCTGGTCTATAGAGCTGCGATGGCTCAGGGGATAGAGCGTTCGCCTTCCAATGAGGTTCGAATCCCAGTGATGACTGGTCCGGCCTGCACCGACCACGGAGCTGACGTAAAATATCCTCAGTGGTAGACAGATCATGGGTTAGGGTTCCCTTGCCATCAGGCTAACTGTGGGAGGATTTTGTGGTTTTCCTCTCTATGTAACGCAAATGCGGGTTATTTCCATCAAAAAGTCCTCCACGAGGGCATATTTCTCCCAATTCTTTATCCTGGAGTTCCCTTGTCTTCTGGATTACTTTCAAAAGGTTGTAAGGCTACGGAGTTGTTCATTAGTAGTGCCAAAAAACATTGGGTCACCTTTTCAACGTCGGTTATAAAATACCTGGTCGACACGAATTCCTCATCAGGCTTGCAACCATCACAGTGCTGACGTGAAATATCCTCAGTAGTAGACGGATCATGGGTTACAGTCACTTTGCCGTCAGGCTAAACGTGGGAAGTTCTCGTGGTCTTCCTCTCCTTGGGTCTGCGGTTCAATGACGGTTATAAATTCCAGGGATTAGACAAAATTATGAAAACACTTCTTTACAACAAACTCTATGTAAACAGTCTTTCTTTTCACGACAAAAGTTTTGGAAGATTTTACATGGCAAAACTGTTGACACAACACATAAAGTCATGCTTGAGGCTTTTAGAAACGTCATTATTACCCATGCAAAATTTGGATAGACCAAAATGAGGAAAGGAATTTAATAACCTTTTCTCTAGCTTTAATACCAGCAAATCTGAAATCATTCTACAGGATTGCAATATCTATATTTGAATGTTTTTTTGAACTCCAGTGGTATTGAAAAAAAAGTTTTTTTATTTTTTTTGCGGATTTTGATCGACGCAGATTTTGCATAGGTGAAAAGGACAACATTTCTGTAAAAAGAAAGATTGTTTATATAGAGTTAGTATGAAATTTTTTCTATATTTTTGTCCAACCCCTTGCATAGATTATATATATATATATNTATATATATATATATATTTGCTGAGTGGCCAAATTATTATGACCAATCCCTCAATACACTCTTGAACCACCTTTAGCCCGTAATACTGCTCGAATTCTAGGCATAGATTCCATGAGACAATGGTACAAGGAATTTGACCCCATATCTGATGATCTGCACTCTTAAATTCCGTCAGATTGGATCTGATGCCCCGGTTAATCTCATTCCACAAATTCTCAATTGGATTGACATCTGGTGATTGCGTAGGCCAACGAAGCAAGGTAAAGTCACCGTCATGTTCTTCCAATAATTTGACGACTATATGAACTCTATGACAAGAAGCATTGCCCTGCTAAAAGTATCCGTCCTTGGTGGGGAACACCATTAACATAACAGGATGTACTTGATCTACGATAACACTTAAATACCCTTCAAACGTCGTTCCACAGGAATCAAAAGACCCATGCAATGCCAGAAAACATCTCCCAAACCATAACATTGCTTTCACCAGCTTGAAATGTTATGGCAATGCAGTTGGGGGTCTATGATTTAGTGCTGTTTTCGCCATATCCGAACCCTGCCATCTTCATGGTGTGATTAAAAATGCGATTCATCAGACACATGACCCTTTTCCAGTCATCTACTGTCTAATTATTATGCTCCTTCTCAAACTGGAAACGTCTGCTTTTGTTCAGGGCTGACAGCAGAGGGTTTCGAACAGGTCATCGATTCCCCGCTGTTGCTCTTCTGCTGGACTGGACAACTCTGGCAAATCTCCTTTTAGCTCGAGCATTCAGTAGGCTATGATGACCGCAAGCCTGACGTTGAGACCCAGTTTTCTTCTTGGTAATTTTTTTAAAAAATTTAATTGAATTTGTGCGTAATTGCGGCAAAAAGTAGTGGCTGCCATTAACAGCTCATTCTAAGAGAACAGTGTAAGTAAATGATAGGTTTGTAAAGAAAAAAAGAGGAACTAAGATGGGATTTGATGATGTTTAATCTATATATGGTTTTATTGTGAATGGGCAAGCAAATGTGTGATTCAATATTCTTCATTTAATGTGTGCAGTTTTAATTTATCATTAATAAGTTTAAGTTAATTATTTTGTTGTTAACTTTCATATATATTAACCTTTCTTTTGTTTTTGGTGAAGGTATTTGATCAATGTTATAGCCCTATTTCAGTAAGAAATTTTTCTCATGGATATCATTTCACCCTTTTTCCATCGCATCCAAAGAGATATCACGTACTTATCCGATCACTACTGAGCTGAGAGAAAGGGAGAACCTGATTAGTGAATTTTTTTTTAAGGGAGAATATATTAATCAATCAGATTCTTATTTTCCTTCAACGGCCATTAGCTCGCTTTTTTGGCAGTCCTGATTTGGTCTCTTTCCATTTGTTTATTAATGTTTGTTCTTGTTGCAAGCTGTACACCATCTTAGCACCTTTAGCATTGTAAACACAAGTATTGTTAGCATTGTAAACACAGGTAATAAGTAATCAAATACCACGTTTGCAAAAATCTCGAAACACAATGATTACGTTGTGATCCAAATGGCTTTAAAATACACCGGAAACACTAACCCAGAAGTTGTTGTTGTTGTTGTTAATTTACGTCGCACTAGAGCTGCACAATGGGCTATTGGCGACGGTCTGGGAAACATCCCGAAGGATGATCCGAAGACATGCCATCACAATTTTGATCCTCTGCGGAGGGGATGGCACCCCCGCTTCGGTAGCCCGACGACCTGCGCGCGAAGTCGAGCACATTACGGTAGCACAGTTTAACGAGGACCAATACCGCACACCCTCGGTCCCTACGCAGACTGATCCAAGTGGTCACCCACCCGCACACTGACCGTAGCCAGTGATGCTTGACTTCGGCGATCAGTCCACTACGGGACCACTAACCCAGAAGAAGTATAGGCGGTATGGAGCTTGCAGCGTTCCCTAGTGCAGAAAACACCATCTATATCATACAGCAAAAATGGCCTTTTAGGGTTAAATTCTACGGCTACGGAGACTGTTCTGCTTTTTTTCCTTCCTGAGTTCTTCTTTACACTCAACTCTTCATGATGTTTATTTATTTGTTTTGATGTTCGTTGTGTGTGAGTGTCGATTTGATCTATGTAGGGAATGAACTTTAAGGACGAATTAATAAATTCTAACGACTATTCTTCGATTACCGAATGTTTATTTTTTTCATAATATTAAATTAAATGGCGTCTGCTCTTGTCTCTAGACTTGTTATGTAAGAATATGAGTTTCTTTAATTTTTAGTGTTTCTCTGTACTTAAACGTTACTTTTAAATTTGCATTATTTTTAAATTGCTTGAATTACATTATAGATAAAAAATATTTTATTAATTTCTCGCATTCATTCTTTTGTCTTTAAACTTTTGCTTTCAAAAAATTTAATACGACGTATATTTAATGGTTCGATACATTTCGTCATAGCGTTTCAATCTCTTGAAAAATATTAGTGGTTCAAATATTAATTGTTAAGAGATTATACTATAAGCTTTGTTGTTTACACAATAAGCTTAAACTTTTCTAATTTGATCTTTATATAGGTATTGCGTAATGTTGAGTCTAGCATCGATCGTTTACTTTATACAATAAAAATATCTTGAAGTAATAGAACATAGTTCTCACTAATAAAAAATTTGAAATGTGGGAAGATTTCCCTATCGTGATCTGTGGCAGAATGACTGCCAAGTTTTGGAAACTTTCGGGCATCGGCCAGCAAGAAACTAAAGAAATGAAAAACGTCACAGAAAGGCACCAACTTGAATGGTATAACTCGTAGCCACCTCCTGGGCAAACCTTTAAATGTTTTTTTTAAATTTTTTTTCTCGTTTGTAATAAATTTGGCGATAGTAGTTGGCATATCCCCTTTCAAGTTGGTCTCTTTCTGTGATGTATTTTTAATATTTTCTTCGGAGCTGCTGCATAGAAGTTCCCAAGACTTACCGATTATTTTGATGCAGATCATGATACAAAAATCTTTCAGTTGAGCATTTAGTTAAATTTTTTCTGTATTATCAATTAAATTAAACTGTTTTATTCAAAGTAACTTTTTTTCTCTTTTCAAAGCAAGTAAATGGAGAAAAAAACATTTCTAGTCTGTACATTACGCTTTATTTTAATATTTATAGTTATATCACATTTTTCTAACTGAACTTGTATCTCCACATGTTTGATACTGAATTTCTAAATGTAAAGCTATTTTTCTGGTTGTGTATGATTTAAGTGCAGCTGTACTTGTATAACTGCATTCAGAATTATTATGCATGGCTATAAATGAAGTTTTCACTCTTCATGTGATATTTCAGAAGAAATTATGCAGAGCTCTGACATTAGAAATCTATTAGTCTGCATTTCATGCAATTGAAGCAATTTGATAAACAAGATATTTCGGTACTCAATGAAAACATTTACAATCAGTTGTTCAAACAATCATAATTACTCTTTTATCTTTAACTAATGATTTCTTAGCCAGAGTTCAGCTGTGTAAACTTGCTAAGCTGAGAAAATGTCTTGAATTTCGTTCAACAACATTATTAATTAAGAAAGATATCCTCCTTATAAGTACTAAGGCATATACATAGATAAAAGAAAAGTCAAAGACATAATAAAAAGGTTATATAATGGTAGTATAAGCATAATCAGAATGGTATGTGAATTTTCACTTTTTAAACTTAAAACATATTAATTTATGATTCAGGAATCTCATTTAATAATATTGGTGTTTAATATTAATAATTTAAGTTAGGATAGCAAACAATTTACATAGAGTAAACACAAAATTCATATCTAATGATTCTGATGCTGACATAAACAACTTACTTTGACTGGTAGTATTACACTGCAACCTATAAAAAAAGATGGTTATCTCAGGTCACATTTAAGCCTTGCATGTAACAATAGTGGATTGTGCAGTCTTGTGCTGCCTAATCATGGATTGTTACATTTATAAAAGGAGTTAACTCATTTTATAAATGTCTAAAAAGTTCCATCTAAAGAGGTATGAAATAGGAATCCACTTTATTCATTATGACACTGATGAAGCTGAGTTTCATATCATGATTAGGTTACTAAATTGTTTGGGGTACATGCCAATTTTGGTGATAGCGGAATTTTCATTGAATGACAAGTTTTTTTTTTTTAGTTTCATTACTATCTGAAGTTAAATGATTTGCAAATTATTCATCTTACATACTTAGTTTGATTTAAATCAGTTTGGGAAAAAGTGTTATAAAATGTAAGAAAAAACAGTAAAAAATTAGAATACCATTAAATTTATTTCTTAAACTACTTTAAGTGACCATGCAACGACAAGTGTGGGATGCAAACAAAATATTACATTAAAAAAGTTTTTTTGTTACAGTTGTAGTTGTTCTTATTTAATACTTAACTAAGCAGTTTCAGAATTTTTACAGTAAAATTCAAAGATGTCTTTGATACTATACTATAATTTTTTTAAATTTAAGAGCACGATAAAAAAAATGTGTTAAAAGTTAACTGTTGATTTTTTAGTCAGCTTTTTAGATTTTTTAGTTTGAACTTCTTATAGCTTTTCTGAAAGGCATTGCTTATTAAGTTATATTTTTTTGCCTATGTTGTTTTATAGTTTAATATTTGTCTAATTTATTCTTACAGTTTGGTATTTGGCACACTTTATCCTGCTTATGCATCATATAAAGCTGTGAAGACTAAAAATGTGAAAGAATATGTGAGTACATTTTGTATTATGTTGTCTTGTAAAGTTGTTTCGTAGTAAAAGAGAAAGGTTATTGAAAAGAATATTCAAACTGTGTATCTTCTTCTGCTAATAATGTATGATATTATAATGAAAAGTTGATTTGCAGATTTTTATTTTTTGTTTTGCAAATAGTATCGATTCTATTTTTTTTGTCATGTTTTTATTTTTTGTGAAAAGTTATTTTCTAAGATGCTGTATTTTGTCTTATTTGGATCTAATTATTTTTCTTTTTAAATTTATCATTTTCTGTTTGTTTCATCTATGTCAGTGGTTTCCAACTGGCTGCCCGGGAGCCGCATCCGGCCCTCGAAGCTTTTTCTTGTGGCCCGCGAACTAAAATATATTAGTTGTCATTTTTTTGCGGACAATTTTCGTAAAAAATCTGTATGGGTTTAAAATACTTTTCTCGTTAATAAAAACCTAATTTCTTCGTTTCTGTGAAATTTAACAGACCAACGGTGCAAAAAAAAATTATTTCTCAGGTTTTGTATCCAAGAAAATATTTATTCAAATACAAAAATAATTGTGTATGTTGGTTGCTATTTTTCATTTCATTTTTTTGTATTTCGTGAATATAATTTAGCATATGTGTGTCAGAAATTTTCTGGAAGAAATTCTCCTATTTTACTTTTTGAAACCACTCATTTTGGAAGAAAATATTTACTCACTCACATTTATAAATTTTAAATTTAAAATGTAAATATCCATTCTCTGGTGGTTGCAGCAGACAAACATCAGTTTTGTCATTGAACATTTTGTCTGCAACTATGTAAGTTTGAATACCAACCTTTTTAAAGTTTTATATCTTAACAATTAGATATTTGTTGTACATTAATTGTTTAATACATAGGTGCACATTAAAGTTATTGTAGCCCAAATTTCTTAATATGCATTTAAATATTTTTAAAAATCTACTTCTTATTTTAATTTGTAATTCAATACTTTTGCTTTGTACAACTTGGTAAAAATCTGACAGTAATATTTAACGTTCCTTCAAATATAAAAGAGTCCTACATAAAATTTTAATAAAATTGCGGCCCTCCATTTGATTTGTGTTTTTAATTGTGGCCCTCGGCCTCATTAAGTTGGAAATCCCTGATCTATATTTACAATAATTTGCTTGTCTGAAAAATATTATATTGCAGTAAATTTCATTATTAAATGAACATTTCAATGATAAAATTACTGCAGTAAATAAACATTTGAGGTAGTATTACCTATTTTGCACTTATGCTGTTATATTGTACCATCATTTCAAATTGGATCAGGTATCTTGGTATCTGCTATACATCACTAGTAAAATTTTAATGAGATTACCAGAAAAACATTTTTTTTATAAGCTACTAGATAGCAACAGAGATATATCAGCCATTAAATAAATGTCAGTTGTCAGTGATTCATAGATTTTTGTCAAAATAAAAATTGTTGTTGTTGTTATTGTCTATTTTTCTGTATATTTTGATTTTGGTAAATTTGTGTTTGCTTATAGCATGCATAGAAACTTAAATAATTTATCATTATTTTGTAATACTTTTGATATCTGATTCAATGAAATTGTAGGTCAAATGGATGATGTATTGGATTATATTTGCATTGTTCACTTGTGTAGAGACATTTGCAGACATATTAGTTTCTTTTTGGTAAGTTCTTTTAGCTTTTTTATTTTTATTTTTCAATATTTATGCATATTTTATAAAATATTTAAGCTATTTTACAAATACTTTTCTCTTAAAAAATGCTTAGAAAAAATGTGCTTAGTGACCTTGTTATTTCTGTACGGAATATATTAAGTTTTTTTTTAGTCTAACTTTCACTGGTAACACTTGTATAAAGTAACACTGCTCTCTTTTTTTTCTCTAACATATAATACCCTTTTATAGATTTCTCTAACAACCACAATATTCATTTATTAAGTGTCATTCATTTTTGAAGTTAATAGTTTTTTTTTTTTTTTTTGATAGTTTATTGGGTGTAGAACTTCTTTTTTTCTAATTTGAACTATTGAGTAAAAATCAATCATTTAAAGGTTTTTAAAATTATTAAATCTTTATGAATTATTTCAAAAAATATATTATATACATATTTAATAAAAATTTTATTTAATTATGTAATTGATAAATGATTCCCATTTGAACAATATATTGATTTATTGCCTCCATGATTTTTCTGTATTGTTCTAGCTAAAGTTCCTAAAAATTTCATGCAACAAATATTATATACTCTGAAAATTATAATCCTTAGACATTATCCTTAGATAATTGGAAGTGTACAGATATAAAGATTACTTTTTAGTCATATAAACGTTTGTTAGTTAATACATAGTATTTAAAAACTTTTAAACAATATTGTATTAAGGGTATAAATTTTAACACTTTTGAGTTATTTTTCTGTGTTGATGTATAGGTAATTTGCAATTGTTTTCTATTTTGTGTATTTTGTAGGCTTCCATTTTATTATGAAATGAAAATCTTATTTGTACTTTGGTTACTATCACCAGCTACAAGAGGCTCAAGTGTTTTGTATAGGCGATTTGTCCATCCTCAGCTCACCAAACGAGAGAAGGTAATGAAATGATTTCAAAATGCAATTGTTGAAAGTTGATATGATTTCAATCGGCTACTTTCATTTTTTATTTTGTCAATCCCCGTATAAATTGTTATTCCCTGTTTAAAATTTTTCAAACAGGGAAAATATCATGTTACTTCTATTTCTTTAAGGGTTAATTTACTGTTCGGCTATTATCGCTATTAGAATTCCTTTCAACTGAAAATGTTTGGTTATCTGTTGTCTTTTAAATAAGAATAATGTCTATAACCTAATAAGAATTGAGAGTTTTATAGTTTTCTAAGTATAATAAGAATTCAAAAAAAATGTTTTTAAAGCACTTTATTTTACCATTTTACATTTTTTTCAGGAAATATATAAGTAGAGAAAACTCGTTCTTTGGACTAATTTTAATTCTTAAATTTTTTTTATACAGAATATCATAATTCAAAATACTTGAATATTTTTAGCGAGAAGCTATGTATATATATATTTCAGTCAATATAATCTTTTTGTATACAAATATCGTCATACACTTCAAAATTTTGGGTTTTAAAGTAAGGAAAATTGGAATATGGTGTTTGAACTATTGAACAATTTTGCACCATTAGATGTTACATCTTGGTAATGCTCATTTTGAGTTTTTGTTTTCTGAATTGTTGATTAATGTTAAATATTCATTAATTTAAAACTAATTTTTAATATAGTTTTCAAGTAGCTGAATAAATCAAATTATTCATTAACATTATAGTAGATAATGTTCTATTGGAATGTTTCAAGTACTTTTTTGTTTTGTCTTTATCCATAGCAGGGTTGCCATAGCAGGGTTGTAGGCGACTAAAATGCAACTATTTTTGGCATGAGGCGACTATGGCAACTTTTTTTTGCCTGTAATGGTTAAAAAAGCAACTATTTTTGGGGAAAGGAGTCTATTGAGAGACTTTTCTATACTCCTATGTTTTTTTTACTATAAATTGGGTTGATAATCTGTGGCCCGCGGAAGCTTCTAAAGACAATGATTTTTTTGTTCTTAAAAAATAAAATATGTTGAAAATTTTGATTTGCAAATTTGAGTCATTATTTTTTAATGCGCACAAATTTTCAGTTTGTGTAATCACTTTGTACAATATATATATATATATATATATATATATACAGTGAAACCTCCGTTTAGCGGNTATATATATATATATATATATATATATATATAAACATTTATATGAAAATTATATTTGCCACCAACTTGACTGAATAAATGATGGTATATGACAATTAAGTCATTAACAAAATTTTAGCCATATTTTTGATGAATTTTTGTTCTTATTAGGCAACTATTTTCCTAGTTTTTGGCTACTATTTTCATGCTTTAGGCTACTAAAAGCAACTATTTTGTTCATTTTTTCTGTGGCAACCCTGCATAGGGAAATATATTTAATTGTGCAAACTGGGGTTCGGAAACACCAGTTGCGCATATCTGGGACCTGTCCTAAATACTATAGTAACACTGCTTTAAAGGTAGAAGTACTGTATATCCCAGTGTATAAGTCCACCCCTATGAGATAAAAAATTTCTGGTATGTTGGATGTATAAGCCGTTGAAAAAATCAAATATGAAAATTTAAAATTGACGAGGGAAAAAAAATCCATTGCAGAATGGGATCGGTATGTTGCTAATGTTTTTAATCAGACACTGATGATGTTCTTTACATTTTTGAACTACTCTTGAATAAATTAGCTAAATCTTTCTTATTCTTAATTTCTTTTGTGAATGTAATTTGAAGTATTGTTTCTAAAAAAAAAAAAAACTTTATATGTAATGAAAATATGCTGTGAAAAAAATGTAAAATATTGTATATAGCATATTAAAAATAGTTTTTGAAAAGGGTAAACTGATACAAAGTTAATCATATCTATCTCATTGTTCATAATGCCTCAATATTATTGAATCAAGGAATGTCTGGCTTTATTATTGGTATATAAGTCGATTCTCTGATTAAAATTGTAAGGTTTTAAAAAGTCTACTTATACACCGGTATAAACGCTATATGCTTTTATTTTTTTTTATTTTGTCAGTCTAAGAAGTTATTTTTCTTAATAAGTTGGTATTTCATTGTATAGAAAATTAAGTTTTAATCATTTTCATCCTTACTTCTGTTTTCAAATGTAGATAATATCTTATTACCAAATTAAATTGAATAAAAAATTTACTTAGTAACTGGAAAATCAAAAAAAGGTCTTCATCACATGCCTGGAAAACTTGAATTGGTCACAACATGTTCCGAATACAAACTTTCTTCGCTAAGTGGCATAAATATTTGCATTGGCTTAAGGTACTTACTGTCTAAGGTAAAACACTGTGCCATACATATATTCATATACCTTTAAGAGTAAACCATTCCCATAACAGCCCGTTCTGAGACAATGTCGTGGAGGTCATTGCTCCACAGTTATATATGAAATTGTGATAATGTGGTCAGCATTGCCTACAAGCTGCCTTTACTTTCCAAACAAATGGCCTCTAAATGGGTACCCATAGATCTGAAGCTGAGTAAGCTTTAAGTTGCCTGTGCGGATTGATCCCTTGTTTTTTACTATGACTGTAAAAGACTAGGGATTTAACTTCTGAGGGACTTAACTAAACCTTTAATTTCTGAGTTATCATAGCTTATACATATGTAAACTCCTGTTTGTGAAAATTGCAACACCATGAAGGAATCGTCATAATTGAATGAAATTTAATACACAGTTGAGTGGTAGTAGTACAAATAAATGATTAAACTTTCAAAGCAAACCAACGATAACAAGAGATCGAAATCAGTATTTTGTGTAGCCACCACGCTCCGCAATAAGTGGTGCTACACGACGTGGCAGGGAGTCAAGCAAACTTTGAATGTCTGTCTGAGGAAGAGAAATCCATACTGTTTGCATGCGTACCCAAAGTTCGCCTATAGAAGCAACAGGACGAGGATCACAAGCGAGACGCCGACCAACGAAATCCCACACATGTTCAATCAGCGACATATCCGGGGAATACGCCGGCCAAGGAAGAAGTTGTACCTGTCGCTATGCAAGGAAGGATTGAACAGTCCTAGCAATATGAGGGCAGGCATTGTCCTGTTGAAATACAGCACCTGGCAAGGCTTGAAGGAAGGGAACAGCTTGGGGCTGTAGAACTTCACTGATGTACCGGTTGCTGTTCAGATTACCCACAATTCGTAGCAATTGAGATCTTCCATGATATGCTATGGCACCCCAGACCATAACTCCGGGTGTTCGTCCACTGCGGCGTTCGATAACGCACTCCGGAAGATGACGTTCACCGGCATAGCGTCTGACACGAATGCAGCCATCATGGTACCACAAATTGCAGCGAGATTCGTCAGAAAACACGACACGCTGCCAATCAGCATGCCAGTCCCTATGCTGGCTGGCCCATTGCAGCCGCAGGCGGCGAAGGTTTAGCGTGAGGGGGATCCTGAATAAAGGAGTCTTTGCGCGCAGTCACGCTGCAGCAGATGTCTACGAATTGATAAAGCACACAATGAAACACCTGTAGCTATTGACCACCGTGCTGCCAGTTGTCTAGAGAGAGCCGTGCGGTCCGTTAGCGCAACACCGAACATGTGTCTATCATCGCGAGCTGGCGTGACATTTCAGGGTCCACTCCCGGATTCCCGAGTTGTCCGACACTCGTCCATCCACTGCTTTCAAACGCGCATCACTGTGCTGCTGTTACGCTGCACATGAGCGGCTACTGCATGATGAGATAATCCAGCTTCACGAAGGCCGATGATTCTCCCCTGTTTAAACTCCGTAAGTTGTTGAAATCTCACTCTCTTTCATGGAATAGGCATAAGTAACGACTAAGCTAACGTTTACCGCTAGCAGTTAACCACCGATAACCATACTCGCTTGGCTACAGCCGTCTATTTATTCGTATCCATCCGCCGTTCAGAGGGCGCTGCTCAGCATACGCATGCGCTACAGGTCTGAAATTCTAATCATTTGCATATCATGCTCTAGTTTGTATTTCCTGAAAATTTCAGCTCACTCGCGTAAGTCCTTCATGGTGTTGCAATTTTCACAAACATGAGTTTATATTTTGTATCATACAGTAGTAATGCAAATTCTATTATTTTTTTTGTTTTTATATATTATGCACCTTCATTAAGTAATCTCCTGAATTATATATTTTTTTTGTTTGTTCCATAATTTTTTTTGTCCGACAGGAAATAGATGATTACATTGCCAAAGCTCGTGATCAGGGTTACAACACTGTTTTACAGCTTGGGACCAAAGGACTAAGTTATGCAACTGCTGTTGTTATGCAAACAGCATTAAAGGTATTATTTTTTTTAATTTTCTGATAATTTATTTGTATTTTATATATACATATATATAAAAAATTAAATCCTTTTGAAAAGAAGTAAAAGATCGGGGAAAAGTCCTGTCCCAAATAATAATAAACATAAGTTTAACTGTTCAGGCTTCACGAGGATTATTGAGACAAAATTTAAGGTGAGGTAGGGGACATCTCAAGGATTCAGATTTGCATACCAACTCATGGCCTGAAACATCTTCATTTGCCTCTAGGTGTTATTGTTCACAAGTGTATTTTAATTTTATTTTATAACCGTCGTTGAACAGCCGACCCAATTTCATGGGTTTACGACTACTTACGTTCAACTCCGTAGCCTTGTAATTTTGAACCAATCCGGAAGACAAGGAAACTCCTGGATCAGTACCCCCAGAGGTATTGATTTGTTGTAGGAACATAGAGGACTTTGAGACTCGACAGATTTAACGTGCATCAGTCACCATTTACTACACGGGGAGTCTTCGGCCGGCGAGGATCGAACCCACGACCTCTTGGATATGGGCCCAGTGCCCTACCGACCAGGGTATCCCAGCCTTCACAAGTGTATTGGAGAAAATAGACTTGCATTGCTGCAGTCATTTGAGCTGTCATCACCCGTAAAGGAGTATGCAACCTTTTAGATATATTAAGCTGGCAGATATGCATGCATGATGTACGGAGGCAATGCAGGTCTTTTTCCTTCAATGCTTTTGTAAACAATACCACCTAGCAGTGAACAAAGATGTTTCAGACCCTGGGTTGCTATGCAAATCTGAACCTTTGTGATGTCCCCTACCTCCCCTTGAAATTTGTCCCAATAATCCTGGGAAACCCTGTATACTTTTGCCAAGATTAATATATTAAAATGCAAGGTTTATAGTATATAAGAAAATATGTCAGATTGCATATTGGTTTTTATCAAAATACAATATTTTTTATGCTTGCTGATTGAATTTTTTTTCTTTCTCTTTTTTACTAAATATTGTATTAAAGTATTTGATTTTACTGTTTATTTAATTAAAGGGCATGTAATTATATTACTTTTTCTGCTTTAACTGTGTAGTTAAATTAAATTTGCATTTAACTTTCAAAATTTTTAGTTAGAAATTAGGTTTTTAATTAAATGTTGAATGTAATTTACTCTCTCTGTTAAATTTCTCTAGGCATATTCAAGCCCCGGGCTAAGTATTTGCCAGTTCTCCAAGTGAGATAAAATTGAAATTTCGGCAAAACAAATTACTTTTTGGAGAAAGTATTGGTGAACGTTTATTTTTACCAACAAGAAAAATATAGATTCCCCTCGCTCCTGAAAATTGTGTCAATATGAATTTTTTTTGGTTCAAATCTTGTATTTTTTGTCTGAATATATTAATTTTCGTAAGATATGTCACATAACTAATAAGAATTATATTAAATCCAGATTATCTAAGCAATGAGAGAGATTATTCAAACAATGAAAAAGAAACGTAAAATTCAAATTAACACATTCGATGCCTGGTCACGCAGTATCATGTGAGGAAAATTTTTCATACAGTTTGTATCAATAAAGCTAATTAAATGATAGCTTGATGCATATTATCAACTGACTATATTTTCAGAAAATATGTTTTCTCATGGCAATAACATATTGTTTATTAATATAAACTTATTGTAGAAATTAAAAACTAAAGTGCTTTCTATAACAAGGAAATTTAACTTTGATTTTATCTTTATAGATTGCCACTTTTCAATGATAGATAAAGAGTAACCACCAGCACTTGACTGGCAATGATCGTGTTAACCCCCCCCCCCTCTTAAATTTCGAAAAAATCTTTTAGAGTTGTATAGGAACCTATAAAGCAGTATCAAATGATTCAAACAACTTATCTTCTACAGTGATTCTTTGTTTTCTCAGTGATTACATTGTGGCAGTAAAAAATAAGTGAGGCAGTAAAATTTCTTTTATTAAAAAAATAAGATTTGAATGAAACATTTTATTTAAAATGAAATAAATATGCTTCAAAGATAGTCAAAATCTAAAAGAAACACACCAAATTTTGCTTCAGGTTTGTTCTTATATTATTGCTCCTGTCTGAGAAGTTATAAAAAATTAACCTCAACCTATTCTTATTCATTTTCCTCACAGATGATAAAACATTTACATTTTTTATCGTATATCCCATTCATTGCTCATTTATTTCTCCCTAACTGTAAAATGGCTCTTGATTTGAATTTGCATTTTATAAAATGTTCAATTTATAGTAAATTTGTAATTTGATTTGAAGTTTTCAATGGAAAAAAAATTAATCGTAAAAAAATGCTAAGACTGGCCTTTGGCTAATACTTTTGCTATTTGCCTAATTTACTGGCTAATAATTTCAATTCCTTAGGGCGGGGCCTGCATGTTTTGAATCAAGAATAAACATTTTCACCAATTTAATGTATATAAATCCTTTATATAGAAGTTTTAGCATACTGTTTCTAGGTTTTGGGAAATTATTTTAAGAAGCATATGAATTGAAAAATTATGTTTCATGGAAGAGTTCAACTATATGAAAAGAAATTTCATAAAACTTTATTTTCGAACTTATTTTTTTTATTTGTAGAGCTAGCTGTTGATTTATACATTGCTATTTGTTTTATTATGCTAATTGATTTAATTGTTGTCTTGTAAAATTATTGTAATAATTTATTGTATCAATGCAAATATCTAGTAGTTATGGTAATTAGAAAGTACCTGAAGTTTTTTTTCCAATCAGTTCTAAAAGCTATTAAAACCACAGCAACTAGCGTAGCAGCAACATTTAATATTTAAATAAGGTGTACTGGATTACAGAAATTTGCACATTAACTTATTATATTTATTAGTGTTACATTATAAATTTCAATATTTTCAGAATTACTGTTAAGGCAATTTTGAGAGTACTAACTAACTTACTAACTTTACTTTACTAACTTACATTAAGTGTTTATATAAAAGTATAATGCTAATTTTTGTTAACTGTTTTTTATTATCAATTTTTGTTATTTTCAGGGCCAAGAAACTTTGGTTCAGCATTTGCGAAAGAGTTATAGCATGAGTGATCTTGTTGAAGATGCAAGTGGTGCTTCTCAGCATTTTTCTGCTAGTTCTACTGTCAATAATAATTTAATAGGTATGCACTTTTATGTTTAAATTTCTGTTATTACTATACTGTTACAATTTCTTCAATTTTATCTTATAACATTAGCAATATATTAATATTGTAAATTAAAACTACTTTAAATAATTATTTCAAATGGTTTTAATTTGCAAGTCATGTAATCATACCTGTTACTTCCATTCTTCTACAATTTTTGGCTTTGCTTTCTAAACACATTTAAACTGTTGATTATAATCATAAAGCTGGATTAACTACTGACACAACCAGTCAACCAAAAGAATGTTAACTAAATATTAATATAAAAAAACATTTCAATTTTACTACCATCTATCAACATATTACAATTGTCCTGGAAGCAAAATGGGTAATTTCACATAAATCAAGCAACAAAATCAATATTTTCACAAAAATAATTTTTAAAAAATGTGTGCCTTCACGAATTTGATATCTTTAAATTTTGTTTTAATGACGAGTCTCTTTATGAAAATAACTTGATATGCTAATAACAATGATTATTTGTTGCAGATGAGACTGACAGTGGATCTGATGAACGTAATAAACCATTGCGACATCGCTGGTTATCGGAAGGACTGTTGTCTGAAGAAGAGAAATTATCTAAGGAGCAAACGTGAGTAATACTAATAAAAGTTTTTATTTAAATTATGGTTATCGTATATCTTTTATTTTATTTTATCTGTTATGTTTTTTTTAAAGCATTTTGGAATTTGAAAATCATTCTTACTATAGTAGAACCTACATACAGGGGTTGGACAAAATAATGGAAGCACTTCTATACAAACACATTTTTTGATCTTTCTCAATATATACTGAGAGAATCATTTTATAAATTTAGAAGTGTTTAGTACGATATTCAATTTCTCATACTTATCAATGAAGCGTAAAGCTTTTAGAGGTTTGACAAACCGAAAATAGTGTTTTTAAACACCCTGTGCCAAAAAATGTAGCAATAAATTTGTAACTTGGGACAATGATTTTGGACATAATATGTAATAATTACACAAAATTTTTTAAACTTAGATTAAATATTTATGGACGTTTTTAAAATGTTTTACATTTTTTTTCTTTCTTATTTTTTTTGCTGTAACTTTAGAAATATTCAATAAAATAAAACGAAATTTTTGGAGCAATTAAAAAATAATTGCTTTAAAATTTGAGAAAAAAACTGTTTAAAACTGCTTGTGATATGAGTAATTTAAATAGTTCTTTTATACTGAGCATGCGCAGGAAAAAAAATTTTTTTTTCCTTAATTTTGCAGTGAATTGTATTTGGCAACTAATAAAAAAAAAGTTGGATTTAAAAATTGCAAAATTTATTAAGTTTCAAACTATTTTCTAAGTAGTTTCTTTTACTTTTCAATAGAAAACTCAAAATCGTAAGGGGTTTTCCACAAATTTTATTTTGTACTATTAAACAAGATTTATTAAAAATGACACTGGCATTATTGGGGATCATCCCTTGTAAAAGTATCTTTTCTTTTGCATGTTTCCTTTCCTTATACAATCATATTTCGGTGTATGAACATTTATTGTAAGGTATTATCATTTATTACCCCTTCTAGTTTTGAATTTTATTTAAAAAGTACTAAAACTACTTAGAAAATTGCTTGAAACTTTTAAAATTTTTAAGACATTCAAATCCAATTTTTTTCATTCATGTACAATACGTTTCACTTCAAACTTTTTTTAAAAAGAAATGTTAAATTTTTTCTGTGCATGTGCAGTCTAAGGGAACAACTGTAATTGCTATTATATTGCACAGTTTTCAAAAAAATTTTTCTTCAAAGTTTTCAGCAAAAGTTTTGGAATTTTGAACTGCTCTAAAATTTTTAAAAAATTTTATCGAATATTTTTGAAGTTATAGCAAAAAAAAAAAAAAATAAAATAAAATAAAATTTTTTTTTATAAAAATGTCCATACTTTATAAATATTTAAGTATTCATAAATATTTATTATGAAATTTTGTGCAATTATTGCATATAATAACCAAAGTAATTGTTATAAGTTACAAATTTATTGCTACATTTTTAAGGTGTACATAAGGACATAAGGTGTTCAAAAACACTTTTCCATTTGTACTTTATTGTTGGTCCCTCAAACCTCTAAAAAGCTTTAAACTTCATTGACAAGCATAAGAAATCGCATGATCTAAATGCTTTTGAAGTTTAAAAATGATTCTTTAAGTATTTCTTGAGAAATATGAAATTTTTTTTTTGCATAGAAGTGTTTCCATTATTTTGTCCACTCCTTGCATAACAAGCTCACATTTAATGAGATTCCATATTTAATTAGCAAAATAGAATATTTAGTTTGATCCAAAATTATAAATTTATTGGAATGTGCTTTTTTTATCCAGGATTTTTTAAATATTGTTTCTTAGATTTAATAAGAAAAAAATTTCGGAATCATGGAATAGTGCTAGAAGTAATGGAAAACTATAAAAAACGCATTGTATATTATCAATTATTTACTATTATGAAAGATATTTTGGTTCATAGTTATTGTGAAATATATTTTGGTTTGATTTAGAAATAGTTGTTAATTTTTTACAAACTTATAAAAATTGAATAAATGCAACTTTTAGAGGAAGTGGAAATGCTAGCTAGGCTATACTCTGTTGCAAGTAAAAAAACAAACAATTATTCTTATGGGGTGAGCATGTTTGCGTCCAAGTGCGCGCCAAATGGATGATTTATTCCTTCTGTGATCGTATATTAACTTCGCCAACTCTTAAAATGGCATTGCCAGGCCTTCTTTTTGCTTGCCTTAAGTAGTCTAAAAAAGGCAAATAAAACTTATTATTTTGCTAATAAATTTCAATAAAAATGCTATCTTAAAAATCAACAAATATATGTCTTTCTGTTTGTATTTAAAGAAACTGATGAAAGAATAATAAATATTGTTTTGTGCAGACGATTTTCTTCTGTATCATAACAAAAGTAAAAAAGACTTTATCTTGCATTTGATTTATTAAGGTCATGTCAACAGAAGATGCACCATTTTTAGTAGTTCAATCAAATCCAATTCTCTCGCAACTTCATATAGTTTTTACAAATTCAAGAAAGAATGTTCTCCTTATTTTTTGAAATATGATGCCAAGTCTAGAATTCCAGTAAGACTACAAAACTATAACCTTTTTTTAAATAATTCTATGATATATATAGTAAAACATGGCACAAATTAAATTTCAATATGACAAGTTTATCTTTGAAAAGTTTTTATTGTTGTGAAAGCATATTTATATAATTTAATTACAAGATAAAACAGAACTATATGAAGTCCTTGATGATTACTTAAATCCTATATAGACCAGTACAACTTTAAGCTTGTTGCAAGCTAACTGAAGTTAACTTGCTGCAGGTCAAGGAAAAAAAAATTAAGGAAAACAAACAATAAATAGTGTCAGTTTCTGAAGAAAACTAAATCATAATATCATTCAAGAATTTAATAGGAAACGCTGCATGCTAAAACAGCAAAATACTTTCTAAAAACGCAATATCATTCTAAAGAGCAAAATAATAACAATATTCAAGAACTTAATGTGAACACTATACTGTTTTTGTTTACAAGTTTATCACATTCTTGAGTCATATTTGACATTACTGTTTTTAAAAAGTTGTCCGAATGATCATCAGTTAAGCAGGAGCATGCTTGTTTCTGTTGAGGCTCATAAGTTTTTTTGAAAGCTTAATTGCTTTTTATTTTGATCCTTCTTTGCAGAACTAAGATGTTTTGCAAAAAATGATTTGCAACGGCCTCGGATAGTTGAAGTTATGCCTTATAATATTATTGGTTATGGCTTTTATATTTTAATCCTGACTTTATGGATTTAAAATGACGAAGGACAATTTGATGTAAAATTTTTTTATTCATACTTTTTATAACAAGAATAAAAATATTTAAAAAGGTGTATGGTAAGTTAAGAAATACCAAGCATTTTATAATAAATATTTTTTGTTGAAATATTTAAATGTCTTAGATAGTTTACTGTATAATGAAAGCTAAAAATATTATTAACGTTCTTTAGCTCTCCACAAAGTGGGGTTACCACTAGGCGAAGCATTCGTGCTGTTAGGAGTGTCAGAGGTGCTCAGACTAAGACCAAAGTTCTTTCAAAACAAAATTCTTATGAGGAGGTAAGTAATATTGACTAAATCTTTTCTCCCTTATTTTATTATTTGTTGTATTTCATACTGTAAATGCATTTATTTTAATATGTGACTTATATATTTCTATTTATTAGCCCATTTTTGCGAGAAAATTTTTTTTTTAGATTTCTACATAAAAATAGTTCTCTTTATTGATTAACTTGAGTCAGTAAATAAAGCGGACCATTTTTTAAATGATTTTTGTCGCTTTGAAATTAATTATTTATTTAATACTTTTTCGAAATAAAATTTTTTTTTTTGAGCATGATATTTGGATAGAATTTGTTTATTGTATAAGAAAAAATTCTTTCTAAGTAAATTTAGTTTAGTAGTATTTCTCTGATTCCCTGCCAAGCCTTTCTTGATCTGTTTTGATGAACTTTATCTATTTGATGCAACTGTTCTCCATTTGTTGTTACCAATGTCCCCTCAGCAAAGGATCAAAATTATGATGTCATGTCTGCGGATCATTCTCAAGAATGTTTCCCACAGCTTCGCCAATAGCCCATTGTCCAGCTCTAGTGCAACGTAAATGAAGTACCTGCCTACCTTACTCCTTAAAAACAATATTTTTGTAATTTTGACTTTGATTCACGATAAAGTATTTTAAGATAGTGTTGACGTGCATTTGATTTAAGATAGATGCGACAAAAACACAAATATCGGAAAATTGGTATTTGATTTATGGTATTCCAAGCAGAAAAAAAATTTATTGCTTCAAACCAAAAATTAATTTGAATGCATTATTTTAAAATCCTAACCTGATTATTCATTCTCTCACAAAAGTAATCAAAGTGATGTAACAAATTTTTTTAATTCCTATAATAACCAGTTTTGGGCCGATTTTTAATCACATGTTGCATATCCTTTTTAATCACAAGAGCAATTTAGTATAAACGCATGGGTAAATAGAATTGATATAACACTTATTGAACTATACTGCTATGTACTGTTCAGCCATTTTAATGGAGTAAATTACTATGTTTTTCTTAAAGTGGTGTTACCAGAATTATGAAAGCACATCTCATGAATGGCAGTAACTTGTCTTTAATGCAGCAATCTCATTGGGGTTATTGGAAACTCCTGCAACCTTCTAATTTGTTAATTTTTTACAATATTTTGTGGTTCCTAATTTTGATTTTTTTAGGTTTATAAAGTATATAGAGATTTTAAAAATATATATATTTAAGGGCAGTATTTATGAAACACCCTCTATTTAAGAATGTTTAAGACATATTAAACAAAGTTATTATTTATGTCAAAATTAGTAATAGTTCACTTAAATATTTCCAAATAAATTATTTTTTTTGAAATAATATATTTTAAATTACAAACAATGATATTTTATAAAAAGTTATTTCCTGATAACTATTTGACAGTTTTGTTTCAAATGTAGGATTTTTTTTATTTAAAATTATGTCAATGCAGTTTATCATGCTGTAAAAGTTACTGTACCCTATAATTTAAAATATATTTAATCATTTTAAAATTAAGTATACAGATGTTAATTAATTGTTAATTTTTTTTGTATTAAGTTATCATTAGGTAGTTAAGTTTTTATATTTTGTGCAAAATATTTTTGATTTGCATAGCTAAAAATGGAATAGTGAAGTAGGCAAATTGTAAAAACAATAAAAAATTTAAATTATTGACTTATCTCAGGATTAAACTGTTAAGGCCATTTTTCCAGATTTGTAAATAGATAGTCAAGAGTCTGATTTTTTTTTTAAATAAGGCATAAGCTTGTTCATAGAAAATGCATCAAGTTTTGTTTGTTTTATGGAACATCAATCAATTTTATTTTCTTATCATATTTTTCTAAAAAGTGAGTGAACCTACATGTTTGTCTTAATATTTTTTTTCTTTAAAAAAATCAGGTCTCAAGTTATGCAACACTTCCACGGACAAGCAAATCAAAAACAAGAAGAAAACCATTATGATGTGCTTTGCTCATATATCCTGCTATTGTTTCATGTCACCATTATGCCTTATTCTTTTAGGTTATTTGAAAATGATCTTTCTTTCCTTGCCTTAGTTAAGAATAAGCTTACATATAATATACATGGTAGTTGCAATCTGAATAACAGGGATGAACCCTGGTATTTAATTTTAGTAATAGGTTTTCATGTGTGAAAAACCCCAACCATTAATGCTTTTGTTGAATTTAGAGATTAACCAAAGCTTTTTTCTCTTCTTTTTTAGGAAGAGTTTATAACGACATTGGTATTTTGGTTTAGTTGCAATTTATATATTTATGTAGAGTTTAGTTGAGGATACTAATACTTGGTTGTTAATACTTTCCCATTGTCAAGTTTGTATTCACACTGGGTTGCCTGGTTGTTTTCATGCATTGTTATGAACATTTCCAGCTTGCAATATGCAATGCATTTGTTTATTATTTTTGCTTTTTTTGTGACACATGTTATGTGTTGAAATGAAAATTGTTTTGAAGTGTTTTTATTTTATGTCTTTCATGATTTACTGAAAGTAAAGTTTGATAATCATATTTTAATTTGTCAAATATTGAGATATTTTAGAGCAATTCAACAAGCTGATATCTTAATGTTTAAAAAATGTTTTTTTGATTTATTGTATATATTAAAAATTCATTTGTTTAGTTGTAGAAATTAAATATTTGTTAAACTTATGAATACTACTGCTTATCATAGTATTATTGGTAGTTTGTTTTTCTTTATGTGCAAAATTGTTCCATCTTTTGTCATTTTTTTCATTTTCCTATTCCAAAGGCTCATTGGTATTTAAGATTTAGACAAGTTTTTAAAAATGTCTTAAGTGAGGCCCTTTTGTATGCTGCTGTACTAATTTTAGTGTTTAGTTTTTTTGTTTGATATAGTTTTAATTGGGAGATGTTTTCCTTCAAAACACTTACTATCTGCTCCCTAAAATATAAATGTGATTTACAGTTTTGAAAAACAGTATTTTTATTTTATATCGAATGTGGTATAAGTTTGTGCATAATTTTTTTGTTTATCCTTCCAGTTCCAGTTGTTAAACTGAAACTTTTCTTATAAAATTTTCACCTAAGTTTGAATTTATAATGCAATTGGCCATTTTTGTTGTTTTGTTTTGTTCAGAAGGAAAAGTTTATAGGTGAAATATGCTTGTAGTTAGATAATATCAAATTGAATATTCGTAAAACCTTTTCCAAAATTTTCTTAAATGCTATAACAAATGCTTATTTTAAATTTTATTTATTAATGAATCCTTTTCTTTACAAATTCAATCAGGTTGTGATTGTTTATTTATTTATTGTTATATTTGTTTGACGCTCATATTTGAAAGTTAAGTGGTTGATTTTGCCATATGCCAAGAATTTTTTTTTTTCAAAATTATAATTTCATAATATGATTATGTTTTATTAGACGTAGTTACAAAAAATATTGCCTTTTCTTTCGAGTTTTAAAACTAAATGTTTTGGTAGCTAGTAGAGTAAAAAAAAAAATGTAAGCTGCGAGCTAAAAAAATCACAAATTGCTAGGTGTTCCTTTTATGAATTCACTAGAATCATCGACCAAATAGTTTATCAAATTTATTTTATTTCTTTTATTAATTTGTTCTTTTTTCATTTCAATGATGTGCTAATCATTTACTATTATAAGAGATCTATTTTATTTATTTAAGAGTATGTAGTGTTAAAGAAAAAGCTTTTGTTAGTGGTGTTTAGGCATGCTGTTGATTTTGTGTTTTAACCTTTAACTCTTGATTAATATTAGCCTTGAGCTAAAAGGTCCTACTCAAATAAATAAACTTTAATGTATCTATTTTTATTTACGAATGTATCTATTATATTAATATATATTTTTTGCAAAATTATCCAGCTTCTAGAGAAACCATTTGAACAACTGCTCTTTATATGTTAAATTGAATGTTTTCCTTTTTTGTTTTCGTTTTTTATTCTAGCTGTTCTACATTACTCTTCATATTTTTTTTCTACATTGACTTTAGAAAAAAATAAACCAAATGATGAATTTATTACTTGAATGCATTCACTTTGATTTTTATTGTTGACTATATGAAATTTTTTTTCAAATTCCTCTAGACCATTTTTAGGCTATAGAGTTTAAAATACTTGTTTTTATTTTTACAAGATAATTATTGTTTTACATAATTTGTAAAAGTGATTCTAGGCGGATTTGTATTTTAATGTATCATTTTAATTTTTACCATTCGATGCATTACATCATTTTTTGAAAGCGTGCCAAATGACTCTTTATCCCATTCCATCTTTTCCCCTTCCATTAATTATAATGTTTTTTTTCTATAGTGATCTCTAATTTATTTTTATGAGTTAAGAAATTATAATTTTTAGATATTTTATGCTTGTGTTGTTCTTTTACAATCATTTAAATCATTGCTGAAATTTTATTGATCTTGTGGGTAACAATAATTTATTATTGGTTTAATTTGTTTAATCAATCTTAATTGTTTTAATTAGTTCAAAAATAAGCAAACTGTGATTTTTCTAAGGAGATTTATTTTAAAAATGAGCTATAAATTTAAAACGTTTTCATTAAATAATAATTAACACCGTACTTTTAAAAATTTAAATTGTTTTTGTTGCGAAATTAGTGTTTGATTATACATTCTATTTTTATGTAATAATTAAAATTGATGTATCAAGATTTTTTGAAAATGATGTTTTAGTTTATTAAAAATAGCCAGATTATTTTTTATATTATGCATTTGTTAAATAAATTATGAATGCTTACATTTTGATGTTTGTAACAGCTATTAAAAAAAACATATATGGTGTATATATGTTAAGCACATATATTAACATACATATATTTATTATTTTAGGATATTTATGTTCTTTTTTATTGTTCGTAGTCTATTCAATATTTGGTTTTTTAAATATATATTTGCCATTTTAACTTTTATTTATACTGCATATTCTTTTGAATATGATTAATCATTGAATTGGTGTATCTTTTGATACGTTTATATTGTAATATTTTCATTTGAATTATTTACTTTGTATCCCATTCTTAGATTATTTTCTCTTTTAATTTTCTATTTAATAAGTGCATATAATTTATTTTTCATTCAGCTATTTTAAATTGCTGATATTTATTCTCAACTTTTGTGTGCTTGTACTCAATTTCTGTTCTCAATAGTATACAGTAGTGCAGCCAGAAAAAATGCCCGAGTGGAGTTTTAAAGTTGCAGTTTTAATAACTATGAATTTTCAATATGTCAATTTAAATTGAAATTTTTTTTAAAAATATAAGTACTTAAAATATAATTATTTATTAACATCTATAACTTATAGGTTTTTTTTCTAAAAAAATTAAACATTACTTCTTTAATCATAATATAAATTTAAAGGATTTGTTTAGTTTTTACTAATTGAGTCATTTTTTAAAGTGGTTTAAGTCCATTTTAGTAAAATAAATGATTTAAGGGTATGAAAAATAAATGATATAAATAAGATTATAGATATTTTCTTTTGATATCTATGATTATTCTATGTTGAGATCATTAATTTTTGGAGTATGATTTCTTAATAGGTTCAACCAAATAATTAGCATTCGCTACTACTTCATAAATTGATTCAAATACAGACCCCTAAGTATCATGAAATATGAAAAAAGGATAGACTTATACCACTTTAAAATATTATGGATAAATTCTTATGGTGAAAAATTTAATATTTCAATTGTAAAATTTCACTATCTTGGAAATTTTAATTCTGGTGCATAAGAGATATTAATGTTTTTTTTTTTAAAGAATTTCAATATTGTATGTTTCAATATTGTATGTTTCAATATTGTATGTTTCAATATTGTATATTATTTTATAAACTATAAAATATTACTATGACTATGCTCATCCATTTAATATTTTACATTAGCATAGTTGAATTATCAGTATTTTTGTTTTGTTCATTCAACCCAATAACTATATATTGATAATATTCCTATCTAAAAGAGCTTAGAGGTTATATTTTTCAACATATTCTAATATTTCATTTTCTTATATTGTACTGTATTATTTTTTGCAATTTTAGTCTTTTTATATAAAATTCTAAGCAGTTATGATAGAATGAGTTGAGCCATGTATAATATATTAAACATATAATTGTATAATGAGGAATTAGCGGAGAATGTTCATACAATACCAGCAAAGGTTTTATTGTTTATGTTTATCCTTAATGTTTCATTTCTTTTTTTATTATTTATAAATAGAATTGTAGATAGTAATTTTTTTTTTTTTTTGTGATTTGTATTTGACTATGATGGTCAATAATAAATACAGACTTTCTGAAAACTGACTTCTATGGCTCAGTGAAGTTAATACAAATCCAATATCAAATCGAGTGTCAAACCGGTGATTACCTATTTTAGTTTTAAAAATGTAACAACTGAAGTTAGTGCTTAAAACTGTAGTAAAAATATCTACAGATAATTTTTAAGCAAACATACAAAAAAATTTATTGAAATTTTAATGTTAAAAAAAATTATTCTTTTTAACTTTGCATTCATGTTTTATCTTTTTTTATTTTATTCAGATTAGACAAAATGTTAGAAAATATTGCTTATAAAGCAATACTTAAAGATTTTTTTTATGCATAAGCATTTTATTCTTGGTTTAATGAATTTTGCTTAAAGAATTGACTGTCACTTTATGTAAAAGATTTAAATGTATAAAATGCCAAATAATCAGCCAATTATGCCCTCAAATGCTGGAAAAAGACTTTAAAAGAAAGAAAAAAAAAAACTAGTTGCTTCTAAAATGTTTTGTTTATTTTACTACCACGTAAAAATGTAAAAAAAAAAAAAAATGGAAGCAATAAAAAATATTAATTTTTTAACCTCAATTGAAAAAAAAAAAGAGAAAGATATGGTATTGCAAACTGGAAATAACCAGCTATTTAAAATCTAAAGGCTAATTTAACATGTTTTTGTCAGTAATCTCATGAAACTTTTCTAAGATGAAAGTTTTATGATACTGTAAAGAAATCCCAAGCTTAAAAGTTTTTATATTTTCCTCCCTAGCTGTTGGTAGCTTAGAATAATTTATTGCATGACTAGTAGGACAACAATGTTTTAGTTTAGTTGCAGTGAAAAATATTACACTTTCTTTTGTGCTTTGAATAAGTACTATATTCTGTTTTAATAGATTGTCTTAATATTTGTACTTTTTGATTATATTTGTAATGTTGTATTTTTATAGTGGATGACATTAGTTAATTTGACCTTTGGAAAATGAAAGGGTGAAAATTGAGCTCAATTTTAAAATGACATCTGTTTATTCTTTTTATAATTAAAACTAAGTGGATGATTAAAAAAATCAGTTAAACTTTTTTATTTGGAATAAATTGGATCTCTCTAAAATTCCCTTACCCGATGGAATTGTGGTTTGATCAAGAAAATCACTTTTAGATTACAAGGAAATATAGAGTTGTCAAATGTAATCAAAACCATTAAATGTCTTTATTTAAAAGTTCCTTTAACCTTATCACTTTATAAACTTATCACCCAGCCGTGCTAGAGCTTTATTAATAGTTTAGATTTGATATAAAGGCATTTTAACGGTTTGATTTATTATGAATGATAATTTTTAATATAAAGGGTATAAGTTCTTTAACTATTTATTTTCAAGATATTGCATTGATTCTTTTATGTTGCCATATTTGATTACATGCATTGATAGATGTTAACTTTATAATATTGGTATTATCTTTAATAAATAATAATTAACACTGACGTCAGATAAGCTTGTCAGTATATGCAGTATTGTCAGGATAGCAAATATGGTATTTAAAAAATTCTCATAACCAAATAACAGAGCCAAATAATTAAATGCTTAAATGGCAATAACTATCGAATTTTAATTCCTCCATTTTATTCTTAGAGAAAATAGGATTCTTGCAGGGAAATTTTAGTTTGATTTTTTCTGCGGGCTCAGCACTTTAACAATTAAAAGTATCATAAATAACTGAACGAAATATTCTCTTGGAATTTATTAGATTTAAACTATCGATGCCATGTCTCAATATTTGGCTCAAACCCTTGTTTATGACATATTTTGATAACATCAAATTCAGTTACCTGCAGCTCTATATTTCACTTTGTAATTTTGAAAATACTTCAAACATCAAACTGAATTCTAAACTGATCAAATTTATTCAAAAATTAATAAGATAAAATGAAAATATTTAAATCATTTAGTGTCTCTCTTTAAGATATGATAAAGTTTAAATGTTTTTTATTTCTAAAATAGCTGGCAAAATAAATTACAAATATGTTTCATTTCTCTAAAGAAATTCAAAAGGAGTGTAGAAAAGTTTCTATTCAATAATTTATAAAAAAAAAAGTATTATTTTTATTTTATTTATTGCGTTTTATTGTTGTTAGTAAGCAATTTTATATTTAACTTGCATACTATACACATTTAAACTATTCATGTTTCCGAATGCAAGCTAGAATGAGAGAGACTAACTTAATTTTCTGATATTGTCTCTGTATATATCTAACTAATCTGTATATTTTGTTACCTTGTTATATATTGTAAAATACTGACTGTGATCTTGGCATATTCTTTTATGATGCAGAGTATGTCAGTAGTTGCTGTGCTTTATTTTATTTCTTCCCTTTTGTGATTTTGGAAATTCCTTTATAATTTTATGGATATTTTATTTTTAGATTTAATCTGGTTTCTTTTTAGTATTTTTTGTGTTTATTTTATTGTAAGCAGCTTTTATGATTTTTGTGTTTGATTTATGAGAATAAAGAGATTATAAAAGGAGGTTAATGCTTTATGTTTTTTATGAGACCGTTAGTATCTAACAAGACAGAGACTATGCATCACTAATTACTTTATAAAACTCAAACGTATTGGCCGGAATTATTTTAGCCTTTTACCTATCATTGTGCTGGTATTGCATCGGTGCTAATTCTATTTTTAGTGGTGTCTCCCAATTTTTTTCTTATCTTCCAAACTTATGAAAAAGGTGTATTATTCCTATTTTTTTTTAAATCAAAAAACATAATTTTTATTACGTTTTTAAATGGTAAAAGTTGTAAATTTAGTAAAATCGTACGAAATCAAATTATGTAAGGCGCTTTTCAAACATTGGTAAAAATAATAAATTTTATGATATAGTTTTTTTTTACTGCAAATTTGAGAAAAAAGGTAGGCTTAATATAAATAACTAAAAAATTGTAATCAAATTGTAATTATTAATATGTAATTAATTGTGATTGTAAACAGTGCATGTAATAAAAAAAGAAATTTTTTTTTAAAAATTTACTTTATTTTATTTTTTTACATGTAATGATTTCGTAAATTTTTTTTTTCAGGTACATATATATAGAGTATAATATTGTTTAATTGTTGAAGTATAGTACTTTTTTTTGTAATAATGAATATAAATAAAAACAAATTCAAAATAGATTTTTTTTAAATAGATTTTTAAGTGATACTGGAATCTCAAATATAAACATTTCAAAATCTGCAAATTAACAAAGAGTTCAAGATCATTAAAAAGTTTATTTTACTTTTGTGGATGTTCCTGGAACTCTTTCAAGTATTCCCTTCGATGATTTTTAGCAGAATATCTCTTGAAGAATGCCTTACCTTCTTCACACAAAACTTATCAGTCATCACGTTTTAGTACTTTAACCTAAAATACGATTACCATAATATCCTCCTGCCTGTGGAGTATATCCTCCAAAGCCACTTCCATATCTACCTTGGTAACCAATCGATCCTCGTGAGCCATACCCATAATCCTGATCTCTTGGTCCGTAACCATAATAACCATCTTGGTAATAATCTGAAGGAGGATACATACCTCTTCTCCTTGGATCGTAAAATTGATTTGGATAAGGTACCATTCGGTTTCCTCTCGATTGCCAACGGTAACCACCCTGTCCTGCATCAAATGGGCCATAACCACCTCTACAGCCAGGTGAAAAGCAGGGTTCGTTCACAACATCATAAACTGCACTTCTATCAGGTTTGAGCATTTCGTGATTGCGATTTTTTGAATGATGCCTGGATGGTTTTTTAGATGGTTTAGGCATATCAATTGGTTCATTATCATTGGTATTATCAGAAAGAACTATGTTCACTGCCTCTTCAGGACCTAATTGTTGCTCTTCTTCAATTTCAGAATTTAGAACTGACGGAGTGCTTTCATCTTCACAAAAAACGTATGTAAGAGATAATAGCAGCAGCATGAAATGCATCTAGAAGTAAATGAAAGTTTAAGTAATTAAATATATTTTTACATTAATTTAAATATACAGCCTTAACCCCTTCAGGACTGATCACATATACGTGATCGTGAGAGTCTCTCTTGACGGCCTACGGTATCATGTGTGAAACGAGTCTTTCTGACTATAGCGTCCCAAGACAACGCCTCCTATAACTAAAAGCCTCCACATGGTTTTTTATAAGTAGTCCGATCTGGCCACTATGAAGGTAAACCAGTTTACGACAGAGCCATTTAATAGAAAATCTAGTAAAAATGTGAAAGTGGTAGCAAATATATGTCTAAAAATTGGTTTTATTTATAAATATGATTGGTTTGTCTTATTTACTTTTCAACCACTCAATATGTATGATAAATTTCTCTCAAGTACTTTCAAAATAGAATTTGTGTTCAAGCACACAACTGGTTCACTTTTTAAATAGTCTGCGCAGAATAATAAAAAAACCGTGTGGAGGCTTTCTGATGTAGGAGGTGATGCCCAAAATCATACGGACTGGGATCTCAATTTGATGCCTTCGTATTACATCTCGTATTAGTACGTATAAATTCTGAGCGTGCGGGTCAGGGGCAGCGCCTTATCATTCCACCCGTCCAGGAGGGGTTAATGCCTTCAACTATTGACGTTGACTGTCCTTTGAAAGTTCACAGCCAAAATAAGACTATTTTTTTTAAACAGTTATTAAATTTTATGTAGCGGTCAGGGTTAATTACGTGGTAATTTTTTCTAAGTTGCAAAAAACAATTATAATTTTATTATTTGTTAATTTATTTGCATTTATAAAACGTATCTTTCGACCGTGTAATGATAAGCCACATTTCAAATTTTTCGAGACATCGTTTTTGAAAAAAAAAGAAAAAGAATTTCTAGCATACAGAGTTTCGGTATGTTCGGCTGTTATTCAGTGTTAACTGTTAAGATCTTGCATAAAAAAAATCAATTTAAGAAGAAATGTGAGTATTAATTTTAGTATCTAAAACCTTTCAATTATAATATTTTTTTTTTCATCGCACATACTTATAAATAAATTTTTATAATTTTGTATTGTCTTTAAATTCTTACAGATTATCAACCTTTTTAAATAAAATAAAGAAAACTCAAATAAGACTTCTTTTTTAATATTTCTGTAATTGATTTCACGACATTTAATATTATTGGAAAAGGTATCATTTAAAATTCCGACTTAGAGATTTATTAGTTACATCAATCAAATAATGTATTTTCTTGGAAATGTCTGTCATTTTTATTTTTGAAATTGTGAGATACATTCAGTAATTCGTTGGTTAAAATAAAATCTTACAGAAACTATGAGATGTAAGAGTTTTTCCAATAAGTAAATTTAGGGTAAAAATAATAGTAAACAATAACAACATTAAACAATAGTAGATTTTAAATCATACTAAGAAATATTGTTTGCATCTAAACTCATAGTAAGAATTACCCTTAGAAGAGACATTGAAACGATTCATTGTTTTATCCTTTTTTGGGGAATTCAGTCATTTTATGAAAAAGAAACTCAATTATCAATTTTATATTGTGATGATGAAATCAGGCGTCTTACGTTTATTTATTATTTTATGCAAATGCAGTAACAAATCATGTAAGGCAGTGTTTTACACGGGAACAGCTTAGAGGGAGTAATCGTTCTTCTAAGAAATACTTTGAAACAAACGAAAATTTCAAAATTTTTTATTTAAAAACAAAGTTAGTCATGAAAATTTACGATTACGTATTTTTCTGTTGACCATTTTTATGCAGACTTAACAGTTAATAATCAGTGGTGTCAACAGCCAGTTGTGATTTTGAATTTTTGTGCAATTTTTTTATAGTTAAAAATGCATTAATTTTTTTATTAGTGGTACACAAAAGTCATAAGTTTGGGAAACACTGATGTAAGGTGTACTTTAGTACTTTCACAATTATTGATTCATCTCTTTGATGTGATTTTAAAAATAATCAATTTCAATCAATATTACAGTTCAGTTGGCAGTCCTGTTTTTGGAATAGTTACCAGCGTGTGTTAAATTCCGTGCTATAATGCTAAGTCGATAAATTTTATATAAAGTTAAGCACTTATTCTTTTCACTGGATTATAACTTATTACTTTTCTTACTTGAGCTACTGTTTTTACATTCATCTTTATTAAAAATATCATTATCGACATATTTGCATACCTGCCATACCATATTTGCATACTTTACGCCCTTCAAAAAAGACATTTCAGTGATAGTCGAAATAATTATTAAGTGATATTGTAGGCAACTACCTAATTTACCTTTTTGCTGTAACTTAACTAACTGGTCACCTTCATGCATTTTTAAACTTAAATGAAGTATTGTAGGCAACTACCTAATTTACCTTTTTGCTGTAACTTAGGTAGCTGGTCACCTTTATGTATTTTTAAGCTTAAATGAAGTGGCAATTAAAAGTATGTTTAATCAAACTTGTTAAAACAAGGATCAAGCATGAATGAAAAAATTTGCTACCACATTAACCCTTTGATGCAGATGGGACACCGGTGTTCCTTTTATATGTTTTCTTTCTGACATTCAAATTACAAGTAAAAATGTATTTAGGTATTTTTTCATTATCAAAAACTGTTTAATAGTTGCTAAAAAAATCGGAAATATATTTGTAAGAAAATATAAAATCTCCAGAAAGTAGTTCTGAAAATTTTTTTTCATTCATATTCAAAAATTTATCAATTATTTAAATAAATTTCTATGGTGATCAACTCTTTCCCTAAGATCTGAATAACTGCAGGTTTGAAAAATAATTGTTTGAAAGTGAGTCGTGTTTGTAGGATTTTACTTTCAACGCAGAAAAAGTCACTGGTGTTTTATGCTGCTGTATTTCCCTACCATAAATTTTTGACATGCTAAATACAATATTTTTCATTTATTTTGACCTAAGTCAAAACGAATACCGAAAAAGGTATGAAATATATGTTTAATAAAAATTTTGCCTCGAAGGGTTAAATATAAAAATAAAATTTTTCATGAAATCCAAAAAAGTCAGCAGGTATACAGTTGCCTTATACTTTTCACAGAAAAAATTATTTTTTGTTCGCAATTTTTTGGTTTGGTTTTATTTCCTTTCATTATAGATATATGTTTCATTTTTATAATAAAACTGTTGAAAAACTGAGATTTAACAAAAAGACATTCTTTCATTTGATAGTAAACATATTTAACTGATAACCTTGATGTAGTATATAAAGGGGATGATAGAAAAAAAAATACTTACATGGACTTTCCAAATCATCGTTTTTTGTTTAGTGATTCGAAGCAAAATTACGAATTCTCTTTTTTTGCTTTTGCACAATTCAAAATAAATATGCTGTCAGGGAAGTTATGCTTTTATGGATGAATCTACTCATGGTTTACAAACATATTAAGGTTAGCTTTTCTATGCGGGTGCCTGCATGATCTACTTTTAGTTATCTAGAAATACATTGTTTGAAATTAAAATATCATGACCTGACATTTTTTTACCTTCAATATGTTGGAGTTGCATTTACAATGATAAAGCGTAACGCAATGTGTATAGTTTTGAAGGACATAATTTGTTAAAAACAATATTCATTGCCTCCTAATGACCTCTTTATCATATTTATTTTTATCTTGTTGTGAAAAGCTTTTGACACATTGAATTTTTGTTTCAATAAAAAGTTGACATTTTTTCCAAATATTCACTTCGTAGGAAAATACTATAATTCTTAGAAAAAGTTGAAATGATAAGGTTTTTAGGTTGACGTTATAGTTTATTATTTTTTCAATAAAGTGTTAATCTTACTAAAGAATATTTATCATGTGAGAAGAGAGAAATTTTTTTTGAAAAAGTTGAAATGATAGGGTATTTTAATTGACGTTATAATTTATTATTTTTTCAATAAACAGTTAATCTTACTAACAAATATTCACCTTGTCAGAAGAGATAAAAACTCTTTGAAAAAGACGAAATGATACGATATTTTAATTGATATTTTAGTTTATTACTTTTTCAGTAAAGAACGTACTTTTGCTAACATTCAGTTTGTAATTAGTGATTAAAATTTTTCGAAAAAGAGAAATTCATTAGGTATTTTAATTGTTATTTTATATAATTATTTTCACAATAGCTTATTAAATGAATTTTTACCAATCTCGGTACAGTATTTTTCTTACTAGAGCAACCATAGAAAATTCTGTGTCAAATATTTTAGCGTATTTTGAAGAATTATATTCAAATCTTTTAAAAATTCAAGTATTTGTGTCCTTGCAAAAGTTGTATAAAAAATAATTAGAAATGAAGTTTAATTAAAGAAGTCTTTGCATTTTTTCTTTCATTAACCCTTTGCACTCCGAGTACTTTAAAATACTGTTTGAATTAATATAAGTACTAAATCATTTAAAATACATAATACAGTATTTTTTATACATTTTTTTAAATTCTTAAAATTATGTGGTAACTAATTATTAGAGTATACAAATTTATAATTTTAGAGTGGTGACTGTTGAAGGCGCATCAGAGCAACGCCTCCTATAACTGAAAGCCTCCACACTGTTTCTTATAGGTAGTCCGATTAGACCACTATGAAAGTAAATCAGTTTACGAAAGAGCCAATTAATAGAAAATCTATTAGAAAACAGAAAGTGGTATCAAATATATGTCGAAAAATTTGTTTAATTTATGAATATGATTTGTTTGTCTTATTTACTTGTCAACCACTACAGATTCAATTCTCAAATATATGTAATAAATTTCTCTCAATTACTTTTTAAATAGATTTTGGGTTCATGCGCACAACTGGTTCACTTTTTAAATAATCTGCGCAGACTACTTATAAAATCCCGTGTTGAGGCTTTCTGTTGTGGGAAGTGATGATCAGAGGCGATATCGAAGTGCTAAGGGTTAACAGTAATTGAATTTTTTTTAAAAATTTTTTGATGCTGATAAACAATTAAGATAAAATTTGCAAATTAAAAAACTAGGTTTTTATGGTGAAAGAGCAAATTCTTAATTCGCCCTTTAATTATTATTTTAGACTATAATATGTTAATTACGTTACCTGATTGAAAAAATAAGCAACTAAAAAAATAAACAAATATGAGGAAAACAGAGAATTGTTACCGAGCACCCTTGGTCTCTACGCAGGCTGATTAAAGTGGACACCCACCCGCTTAGTGACCGTAGTCACTGATGCTTGATTTCAGTGTTCCCCTGGTCATCTGGGTCTTTACAGTCAGTCCACTGCGGGATAGAAAAAAGATGAAAAATAAAACAAGAAAAATCACAGTGACCGAGTGGCAAATCAGAGTAAAATGCATTTCCACGCGTTATGGAGAGGTAGGGTGGAACTGATGTCGTTAACATCGGAATCAGCATTCAAATGAATAAAGTAAGATTCCTGGGCTTCAAGATGAGCTGATGTAACTGGGGTGAAATTGGTTAATTACGTATTTTAATTATTACCCTTGATTTTTTTTTTTTACTTCATCAATAATGAGTTAAATCAAACAATCAACCCCACGGAACTTGTGGGGGTTATTTTGGACATGCCGATATTAACAGAGTTCCCACATTTCACCAAAACATGCATTATTTTTACAAAATGATGTATAGTAGTGCTCACAAATGTATTGAATAATCAAAGTTTACCGCATCTTCGTTACCACTGATAAACTTTTTTAAGAAGTGTAGGAACGCTACTACAATATTTGAATTCTTACCGATGCGGAAGTTGTAGATTTCTAGTGCAACATTTAAAGTGTAAGTGTTCTAACAGTTAAAGTAAACGAAGTTTCTTTAATAATGCCATCATTTAAACATTTCACCACACAATTAAAAGGTTTTATATATATCGTGGTAATATATAGTTTTTATATATTGTTTTTACATATTTTAAATGAAAGTTTTTATATAAAAAATTAAGCAATGTAGCGTAATATTTGCTGCCATTTTTAATACTCAAGAAAAAATATATCGTTAAAATGGGAGAAGTTGCAGATAGTGTGCTCAATGGTTTTAGCATTAATTAATAAAAATATTATTTTAACTATTAGCTAAAAACTTTTCAGGTTAAAATGAGCTTCATTTTGTTTCTACTTGTATTATCTAGTAACAATAGATTTATTAATTAGTTTTAGAACGCATTCACACCAACTCTTTTATATGGGACTAAAGTGAGCAAATACAACTTTCTTTTAATAAATAAAAAGATCATTAACACGTTAAATGCAAAGCTGATTTTATATGGCTTGCCTGTCTGGCCAAATGGTAAACTACTAACTGAATTCGCAAATATTAAACAGATTTTGCTAGTTTTTTAAAAGGTTTAGCATGACATATCTGAAAAAAGTGGTGAATTATATAAGCCTACGAATTGTTTAGAAATAGTTGAGGATAAAAATCTTCTAAATTGAATGTATTAAACAATTAATAAACTATCACTTGAAAATATTTATTCGCTATCCGGAGCAAGTTGGCATCTCTGTGTATATGAATAAAACTACTTTTGTGTGTTCTATATTGCATTTATTTCTTCAAACCATTTTAGTAACGATAATTATATAAAAAAATTTAAAATTTACTCGAATTATGTGTTTCTAATGATCTTGGCTTCGCTGATCACTGGTGACCTCCGTGGAGCTACGAACAAACTCAGTGTCGGTCACCGGTGACCCCCATGACATGCAACGTGTTGAAAAATATACATTCAAATTAGCTTATGTATCGTTCAAAAGGAAAACAAACGTTCAAATTATGTTTAAAATAATAATTAACTTTGTTGACGAATTTATAAAACCCCAAAAAATAAAGTGATCATTGATTTATGTTTAATGATAACATTTCTACTTCAAAGTCATTTTTTTAACTTCAAAAATAGGACAATTGTCAGTTTTAGAATTACATAGATTTAGTTACATGCCTCGGTAGTCAAAATATCATGTTTCTCCCGAAAATTGCTTGAAAGTTTTAGTTAAAAAAAAAAAAAAAAAGCTGATATTGTTGATATGTTATTATTACCTTAAATCAATTCACTGGCGATTGGTTATTTTCTAAAATCTTGAGTTCAAAAAAATATGAATTTTACGAAATTAATTTTTTGTAGTATTACACTATTTTGAATTAATAAAAAAAATTCATATTTTTAAGTGTGAAAATTAATAATTTGTGGCAGGGATCATGGCTTAGAGTCCCCTTGCCGTTAGATTGACTGTCGGAGGTTTTCGAAAAACGAAACAAACGAAAACGAAACATGTGGAGATCATCGAAAAACGAAACAAAATCATCGGAAAACGATGAGGATTTACAATGGAACCGTCGTTAATCGCGAGCTCCAAGAAGTGATAACTCTAATTTGAAATTTTCGTGACGTAATAACATCGTATTAAAAATATCGTAATTTGAAAAATTACGCGAAAAAAGACGGGAAATCGGTCGAAAATTCAGATCCTCAGAAGTTACTAGCAATTTGTGCTACTGAGTTTTTCTGTAACTATCAGGTTTTTTTTTCCACTAGCAATTTACTACTTGCAAAAAGTCGAAATCGCGCCTTGTTGTAAGGTATCCGTAATAATCCTGCAAAAATCCTGCAGTATGAAATCCGTAATTCACAGTATATCTATACCGCTAACTACAGGGATTGTTCTGTCCTGGTAAATCAGGACCTCTTTTTTAAAATACAAATTTGATTTTAAAAAAGAGATTTGCTTTGACTTTCGCAAATTAGCGGCTAGTTTTCTTTAAAAACAAAAACAAGGTAGACTATTTCCTGTACATGCGTTTTTTTAATTTTTATTATTTGTGGTTGTCCCGGATATATCAATTGTCTCATCTGCAGACAAATCATGAAGCAACTTTTTTACTACTTTTAATAATGCTCTGTCCTGATTTATCAGGGCAACTATAGCCTCTGGAACTATAACTAGTTAATATTTTAAATAAATCACACGAGTTCATGACTGCCAATGCAGTTGAATGGCATTGTTATGCTTTAAAAATATTTAATGTTTCAAAATGGATATTCTGACACAATTACGCAAAAGTGGTTAAAACACGATGCTTACTAGTGTCAAAATGTCCGACAGAGTTCTGTGGACATTTCTGACATAATTTAGCAGACGTGACTGAAAAAAGTGAAGTTTAAAACTTCGATTGCCAACTATAAAGAATGCAAAAAAGTTTAATAATGTGAATAGTTTTTAAATTTTGTTAGTTCACTTGAAAAAAAAAATTATAAAATAAATAAGACCAAGAAAATCGCGCACTGTCAAAAAGAAGACATCTGTTGAAAATTCGAAATAAAGAAGAACGTTCTTACCTATCCATTTCTTGGTTGGCCTCCTACTGAGAATGTATGATGTATGTTGACAGGATTTGAACCCGAAACTG